GCAACAGCAGCAACAACAGCAGCAGCAACAGCAGCAGCAGCAGCGGAAGTGGCTACGACGACGACGACAACTGAAAGTGAAAGGCGCTTAAAGAATGTAAAGGAAGTGGAAAAGCAGCCGCTTTATTTTGAGTCACTTAGCGATTTTTCGAGTTGGGTGCAATGAACATTATGGGGCAGCTGCAAAGGCACAGCTCAAACTCAACCCGCTAATAATGCATATAAAGATACAAGTTTTAAATGCATTAAATATATATACAAAGTTACAAAGCTGATGGATTTGTATATCTAGCGAAAATTGGCATTTAAAAAGAATACATTTTATATTATTATTGGGAGGGAATTGCACCTCAACCAGCTTGATCCATTGTGCCCCCTTCTGAGCCTATAGCTCTTCCATCAGCTACATTTTATATATATAAAAAAATATATGATATATATAAAAAAAAATGTTAATTTACTTTAAGCAATAAAGTAGATTACAAATGAGTAATACTTGCATTAAATGTGCACTTAATTCAAAAAGAAGAATACGATTTTCCTTATTATTTACTTTAAGCAATAAAGTCGAATACGAATGAGTAATATTTTCTGGAAATGTGTTCTACCAATTAGACATATTAAAATGATTTGTTGACTGCTTAAACCCTTCTTAAACAGTATCTGAGGTCTTATTATTCCTAAGATGAACACAGACACACAGTGCAAATATATAAACAAATTTCAATTTAAAATAATTACAAATAAATCATAGGCAACCATAGTTTATCAGAATATATTTATCCAAAGGTTCCACTTCTTGCGTGTAAACTTTCCATTTAACAATTCTCATCAGATTGAGATTGATTGATTGATTGATTGATTGAGCACGTACGTAGAACATTTCATTCCCATTGGCTCCATTTAATCATTTCTTTTTCTTAACAAAATATAACTTTGACACATATTCGTGGATAACATTAATCCGATATTTGCACCCATTTGCAATTAATCCATTTTAAACCCGACCAATCTGAGGCAATCACTCAAATCAAGTCAAACAGACCGAAAATTTGTATTTTTTGTTGTTGCCAACTTTTCTCTGTGGCAGTTTCAATTGCCAAATTATGAAGCCAACACAATGGAACTGCAAAAAACAATGGCAAATAGGTGTTAGTTGTTGTTGTTGTTGTGGTTGCTTGCGCTTTGTTGTAGACAGCAACAATGCTTGGCAATTGTCAAAAAAAAAAGGCGACTGCACAACAACAATGGGCAAAAACCACAGCAACAGCAACAGCAGCAACAGCAGCATCAGCAGCAGCAGCAGCAGCAGTGAGTCGACAGCAACATTAACAACAGCAACAACACAATTCGCATTCGTATAGAACTTGACTTGAATGTGGATGTGGATGTGATTGTGTGGCAGTGGATGTGGCCTGTCAGCTGACCCAGTTTAGGCCACAATTACAATTCCGTCTCTCATTTTTGTTTGTTGTTTTTGTTTCGAGTCTACTTTGCTGTCATTTGCTGGCTGCGCAGACGCAATAGCAACAGCAATAGCAACAGCAACAGCAACAGCAACAACAGCTTGATTTTGGCTGCCCAAAAAGGCATCCACAACAACCACTACATCTGTGTAGCTGACATTTGATAGTTTGCTTTCAAATTGACAACAATTGGAAACGGAGCCAGTTTGTGTTACTTGTTGTTGTTGCTGCTGCTGCCGCTGGCGACAACTCTGTGCTCATTCCCAAGGCACTTCAGCAATGAGAGAACTTTTGCTTTAATTGCATTCCAATTGACAGACCACAAACGCCACGTGGAGCAACAGCAGAAAAGTCCTCAGCAACCACAAGAACAGGAGCAACAACAACAGCAACAACAACAGCAACAACAACAGCAACAACAACAGCAACTTTTGCAATTTTGCCAGAAATTTGATTAACGCTAAAATTTCATTTGCGGAAGCTGCTGCTGCTGCCACAAAATACCGCAAAAATCTGTTTGTGTGTGTATTTTGTTGACGTGTGCCTGAAGTTTGGCCTAATTTTTGGCAGCAGCAGCAGCAGCAGGGCTTAAGTTATCATAATAATAACGTCAACAGCACTTCACATTTAATTAATTTACCATATGAACAGACTTTTTATTTATTTAGCTTGCAGATTTGCGAAAAGATAAATAAATAAATAAGTTAAACAATTTTAGCAACTAGATTTAATTATATTAGCAGATAACTAGACTGCTTCTAAGGCTGCTTAGAGTTAACTTTATTAAGCATATGAAAAAGATTCTCTGACTTGATTAACAGACTTTATTTGATTTAGTTTGCTGACTTAACAAGTTATATTAGATGAAAACTAGACTGCTTCGAAGTTGTGTAATTAACCAGAAGCACATTAAAGCTAACTTTAAGCAAAAGTTGGAAAACTAACTTCAATTTATACACTTTATGTGTGCCGGCTCCAACTTTTCTATATCTAGATTTGATGTGCCATTTTTTTTTTGGCCGTGTCATTGCACCATAAATGTTGTTGCTCCTGCAACTCAGCCGCAATGAAACAAATACTTTTTTACATTTTTAGAGTCTGGCAACAACAACAACAACAAAAAAAGAGGAAAAATGTGAGCCACGCCCACTCACGACATAATTGCATTTATTTGCCTATTCGCATGACGTGAGTTGACCCAAATACGAGAAAGAAAAAGAGATGTGTTTGCCATGTTGACTGCTCTTTGCCAGCTGCCTGGTAAATAATTTAAGGCAAGTTGAGAGCAAAGTTTTTGGCTGCTCTTTTTGTTTGGTTCGCTTTTCGGCTAGATCGAAATGAAAATTGCAAACTTAATTGGAAATTCTCTCACGGCGTGCAATTGGCAAAGTGGCATTGCCATAAACACGAATAAGCCGAGCCAAGAGTCTAATTAAACAGCAGCCGGCAAGCCGGCGAGCAAATCAAAGCCAACAAAACGCCCAACTACAACGGCAACAACGGCAACAACAGCAACAACAGCAACAACAGCAACAACAGCAACAACAGCAACAATAGCAACAACAACAACAGCAATCACAAGCTGCCACAAAAGCAATTTGGGTGAATTATTGAAACTTTCCATATGCAATGGCAAAACAGTTAAAAGGATGAGGAAGCTGAAAACTGAAAACTTGCAAAACTTGGCTGCAAAAATCATTAAAAACTGGCGAAAAGCAAACATGAAAATCCATTTCTGTGTGGGCTGCTCTGCATTTGCAGTTAGAGCGAGATGGAGAGACAAAGAGAGAGAGAGAGAGAGAGAGGGAGAGAGGGAGAGAGATAGCTATAGAGGATTGGTCGGACTTTGCGTGGGCAACGAACGGTGTTTGGAAATGAAGGAAGTGTTTGCTTAGGCTGTTGCACACAAAGGCCATAAAAAATGGCAACAAATGTTGCAGGGCGACTAATAAATGTTGCAAGCAATACACCAACAACCAACACTGACAGCGACAACAACAACAGCAGCAACAACAACAATGACAACAACAAATGTCTGTCACACACCCACTGAGCATACAAAGACAGCCTCCCCTCCCTCCCTCCGCCCTTCCACTGCTCCTGCCCCTTTCACGTTTTAGGCAATTAATTGTGCAACATCAAATAAATTGCATTTAAACGCAACAACGACAAACGGCAATTGCTGTTGTTGTTGTTGTTGTTGTTGTTTTGTTTTGTGTTGCAACATTTTCGTCTGACAAGCTTCATAAAAACTAATTTGCTTTCTAAGGCTCCTTTTTGTGATTGCCGGATTGTGATTCCAGGAAGTACTCCCACTTATGTTGACAGGAATCTAAATTTGTTGTTGCTGGCGGCACATTGTCTTGTGTGCCTCTTAACGAAGCCGTGGCAGCTACGCAGATAATCAACTTAGATGAATGACCCTTTGAGTGGAAGATTTGTGTTTTGGCCAGAACATAATAACAAAGACATATCACATAAAGTTGCGGAACGCCGCCGATTATAATGAGTAAGAACTGCTTGGGAATTCTCAGGATTTTGTAGTGCATCCATTCCCAAGTGAAGAAATTTAAATAAAGTATTGATTTAACAGACAAGACTTAGCTAGAAACTTATTGCTTTGCAAATCGGTTCAGTCTTACTGTATTGTTTAATGTCTAAAGCACTTATTATTATTATTCTTATTGGGGGGAAGCTGCACCGCGACCTATTTGATTTATTGTGCTCCCCTTTGAGCCTATAGCTCTTCCATCAGCCCCAACTCCCTTACGAACGTGAGTATCTTTGTTGGGTGGAGGTCTTCTATGTCTATGCAATTTAAAACATGCGCCCCTAGGATGCTGCTTCTTCTTCTAGTTAAGGCGACACATTCTGCCAGTATGTGCATCGAGGATTCCTCCTCTCTTTCACAAAACCTGCAGAGGTCGCTACTATATATACTCAATTTTGTCAGGTGACTCCTTAGTCTACAGTGTCCTTCCCATGGTTATAATCTGTCTAAAGCACTTATTTGCCCATTTGTCCAGTCAGATTTAATCAAGCACACTTTGAAACTATTATTATATATTGTCCAAGATAATCTAGGTTCAGTCAAGCACGCTAATATATACCAATTAGTTAAGTAATGCAGTTTAAAATTGAATTTGCTGATGCCAATTTGGCTAATCAAATTAAGACAATCAACATTGATTCAAGCGTAAACGTATCAATTAAGCAATATGCCGCTATTATAGCTATGCTGCTGATTAAGAGCCGTCTGGCGGCACTTTATCGAGCCAACCACATCGGATGCTGTCAATTCCCAATTGGCAACTGGCAACTGGCCACGACACACAATCTTTAATCGGGCAAAGTGCAAGATGTGGCAACGCTTGTTTCACAGTTGGCCAATAAAGCTATCAATGGGCCAACAGCGACAACAACTTGAATTGGCAGTCCAGCTGTGGGTGCAGCAGTCGCCATTCTCTTCGTGGTCTTGTCTTGGATTCGCTGAGAGTGCAACATACTTAATCATAAACTGTAAATTATTACTCACAGTCACGGCTCATGCCAGCCGAGAGGCACTTCTTGAAGCGGCAATATTGACAGCGATTCCGATTGAGGCGAATAACCAAACACTTGCCGTCCCTCAAGCAGCGATATTCGATTTGCTTTTGAATGCTGCGACGAAAGAAGCCCTGCAAAATGTTATGGATATGTATATAATGTGTATAATGTAATTGACCATTCAGTGTTGCATGCAACAAACTTACCTTGCAACCCTCGCACGAGGTTACACCATAATGATAGCCCGATGCCTTGTCGCCACAAACTTTACAGGGCACAAACGACTTGGAGGAGACACCGTTGCTGTTGTTGTTGTTGCTGTTGTTGCTGTTGCTGTTGTTGTTGCTGTTGCTGGAGTCAACAATGCCGAATTGCTGTTGCTGCGCGTGCTGCTGCTGTTGTTGCTGTTGCAACTGTTGCTGCTGTGAATGCTGATGCTGTTGCTGTTGTGGCTGCTGCTGCTGCTGTTGCTGCTGCTGCTGCTGCTGCGAATGTTGCTCTGCAATGGCAAATTGCAATTGTTATTGTTTTTGCTATTTATTTACTATGCCACAATTTGGAAAGTTGTCGCTGCTTATGCAATTTGAGCAACTTCACATTACTCATACGCCGCTTGGGCAGGCTCCACAAATTGCCTGCGTGGCAATTTGTTAAATGAACTTGCTGTTGCTGCCACACAATCTACAGGCAATCGCCTGCTCCACATCTGCCGCCTGCTGCTCCTCATTTGTCAGTGACAACCATTGACAGCTGAGCTGTCAATAGTCCACATCTACCCTCAACCATAGCCACTCCTTTTGATGAATGGCAAATAAAATCAATTGGCAGCTCTAATGGAACGCAGCTCAAGTGTGGATTGTCAATTGCTTGCTTATAGCGATGAGGCGAGCTCATGTGGAAAATTGCCACAAGTGAAAATGCCAGGACAAATTCAATTGGTCCTTTAAGCAAACCTTCAACTTGATTAAACAACTATGTGTAATAATAATAAAATGCATTAATTATTCACAACCCGAAAGGCTCTCAGCAAAGATTTGATTTCTATCCAATGGTCTTTTGGATAACTTTCCAATTCCACTTAAGAGTTTGTAGTAAGTTATTGGAATTACCATAACTCTACCATTCCACATTCACTTATGATATGCAAAACACTCTGCAGACTCAAACCAACTTAAAGTTGTATTCCATTTTCTATCTTTCACTTTGTGCAAATTCAAAACTGAGTCTTTAGGCTAACAAAAATATATCGAAAAAAACCGGAAAATTCATCATAAAAATTGCCAAAAGAAAAACGCATTTTGCTGGCAGAAGAAGAAGAAGAACAACAACAACTGCAAAAAGCAGAGCAGCAGCACAATCAAATTCAAATGCCAGCAGCAACTGAAAAGTGCATTCAACTGCAACAATCTCAATAGGAGCAGCAGCAGGCAACAAGCAACAAGCAACAACAACGATGATGTCTGCTTGAATGTGTGATAAGCAAAAATGCCAAAAAATCACGTATACGCCAGCGCCAACCACCTACACAATAGCAGCAGCAGCAGCAGCAGCAGCAGCAGCAACAACAAGAAGAGGAAGCAGAAACAGAAGAAGACGCGTTGTCATCAGTCACGGGAAAAACCAGCAGCAACTGCTTGCTACTTCTACTTGCAACAAAAGGCATAAAACAGCCGCACAATTTTCACTGCAAGCACCAAAAATTTGCAATGCAAATTGCTGGAAAAAATGAAGGCAAACGAGAGGCAACAACGGCAACAATAACAGCAACAGCAACAGCAACATCAACAGCAACAGCAACATCAACAGCAACAACAGCAATAACAGCGACAACAACTAGAAAATTGTTTGCTTCTTGGCATTTGATTTCATTTCAATTTGCCTTTTTCTAATGCAAAACCGAGAGAAAAAGGCAAATGAACTAAGCGCGGAGTTTGAACTACGAGTTGTTGTTGTTAGAGTTGCTGTTGTTGTTAGAGTTGTTGTTGTTGCCGCAATCGACAGTGCCACACCTCGAAATGCGAAGCAAAATGAAATGAAATGAAATTAATGTGCAACTTGCACGCGCCAACAAAATGCAACGCACCAAGACGACCAACAGTTTGTGGCAGGGTGCGCTGCAAGCAGCGGCACAAGGGGCAGCCACCGTGTTACGCGCTTGTGCAATTGCAAATTGAATTTTGCAGCCAAAAGCGGCGAAGGCAATGCAGTAGGTGGTGCTGGTGGTGCCTGCTGACGGGGCAAGCCAAGCAGCCACCACAATCGTCTGGAAAATGTCATCGGCTTTGAGTGTGCAAAAAGGAAATTCAAGTGCCACTCATACACTCAACAAAAAAACCCATAACATTCGATTTGCCCAGTGAACCACTTGAAATTGTCCAAATTGAAGTTGGAAGCAGCTTTGAGAGAGACAAGCTCGAAGCTAATCATAATCAAAGCCTAAGAAATTTCAGAAAATACACTGTTATTCAGCAAATAATTAATCATTTACATAAATTGCACATCTATTTTTTTAATTAGTATTTTATTTTTATATATTATCTTACTAGTTACAAAAAATGACTTGCTGAAAGCCAAGTTGAGCTCTGCAAAAGGCGTCCATTTTCTATATACTATTTTTTTGAGTGTTGCTGCTGTTGTTGTTGTTGCTGGCTTACTTCATTTTCGCGCGGCGTTCAAATGCAAATCACTTGGCCGCCTTTGTGAGTTGACAATTTAGACGCCATTGTTGCTGCTGCTGCTGCTGCTGCACTGGCTTTGTTGCATGGGGCATTGCAGATTGCCGGGCGGTGCTGCTGGTTGGCATTTCCGCGTTGTCAGACAGTGGCTGGCGATAGACGAAACAACAACCGACAACCGACAACAACCACCAACGAACAACCGACAAACGACGACCAGTTCATAACTTTGCTGCAAGTTGTTTGCTTTTCGCATTTTTGTTGCTGCTGATAAAAAATGCAGCGCAAAACAAAAACAAAAGCAAAAAGGAAAACTGATTGAATGCTTGGAGAATGACAGACTTGCTGGTTAGACCAATGCCAACTCTAGTTAACGACATCAACTAGCATTTGGCAGGGTTGCACATCCACATCCACTCCACCCCCTTCCCTCCTCACTGTCGTGCAATTTAATTTGTTTTCCTGTTGCGCACTGCCGCCTCGCTAATTGCCGCAATTAAGTGAGGCAAATAAATCCTTGCCAGCAAAACTGTGCAGTTGCCACAGCCAATTAGAAAGCGGGGCTAACAATATTGCCACAAGTTTCCTACTAATTTACCAAGTTATTTACCAAGCCTACTTAGACGGCCAGGAGGCATGTGGCAAGTGGCAAATAGCTTGTTTTTACACTTACAAACCATCTAAGTAAAACCCTTAAGTGAAAAAATGCCACTTCTAAAATTTGATATTAGAATCCGCTAGAATCCTCTATTGATATAATTTTATATATTTTTATTAACTGAAAAACATGGTATTAACAATAAAAGATATCTTCTGACTAAAAGCAACATATTTAGAAGAGTTCGAGGAACACACAAGAATAAGAAGATATCAAATAATTTGTAGAAATTCTGTATAAATATTTTCACTGGAGTCAGATTATTTCTCATTGATTACATCAGTGAAGAACAGTGATGGGCAAATATATAGTTTCACTAGAAATTATATTATTTCTCCTTTATTACATTTTCTACAAAAACTTATCAATAATACAGCATTTTCATTAGAGTTTTATTAGTTACTTAGTCATAAGGAAAGCCTGGCATTTTAATTAGTAAAATGTGTAATTTTCGTTTGGTTTGCCCAGATTACGCCTTCAAATCAGATATAAACGCAACTTAATTAAAGACTGCGGCTAAGCGAGTTATGAATGCAATTTCGAGTTGGTTATGAAAATGAAAACGATTTTCCATGGCATTCAATTGCAGCATTGCTGCAAACAGCGGCAAAATTGACAGCCAACGCCAACAACAAGCTATACAATTTCCTTGCCACGACAACAACAACAACAACAGCAACAGCAGCAGCAGCAGCAGCAGCAGGGAATTACGTTCATTTTCACATTTGCCATGCCTGCGCACTAATAGTTTCCGCAGAAAAGGCAGAAATGAAAAGTGTGTGGATGGCGAAGAAGAAAGGCAACAGCTTTCAATTGGCTGGCGATGTTGTCGTTGTCGTTGCTGTTGCTGCTGTTGCTGTTGTTGTGCAATGCAAATGCAAGATTAGATAAATAGTTGCACAACACAGACATACTTATATATTTCTGTGTGTTTGTGTGTGTGTGTGCAACACGAAACGCGGAAGAGATGTGACGTGCCACAAGTTGACATACCTGCGTGTCCTTTGCTCAAATGCGCAACAACTGAAGATGCTGTCGCGTGACTGGCGGAGGAGGAGCTACTGACCGCTGACGAGGATGTGGCTGCGACAGAGACTGAGGGTGTTGTATGTTGATGTTGCTGCTGCTGCTGCTGCTGTTGCTGTTGCTGCTGTTGTTGTTGTTGCTGCTGCTGCTGTTGTAGCTGGAGCTGATTGGCGCCGGCATTGAGTAGCGTCGCTCGATTGAAATGCTCAGCGCTGGATGCGGACGACGATGATGATGATGAGGATGAGACTGTTGCCGAACTGGAGCTGGATGAGCAGCCGCTGCTCCGTCCGCTGTCCGGTGAGGAATGGGCGCCGGCTGAGCTGGAACTATTGCTGGCGGGACCAAACTGATGCACACTGCTGATGGTGTACAAAGCACCTCCACCATTGCTCAGTGTGGTGCAGCTCAAATGTGCTGCTGCTGCTGCTGTGGCTGCTGTTGCTGCTGCGGGTGTTGTCGCTGCTGCTGCTGCTGCGGTTGTTGTTGCTGCTGCGGCAGCAACTGTTGCCGTTGTCGCAGTGTAGAAACTATCGCAGTGCAGCAACTGCAATGGATCTGCTTCGATGGCACTCAGGCAATGTTGCAGCTCCTGTGCGGCAGCAACTGTTGTTGCTGTCGTCAGTTGTTGCTGCTGTTGCTGATGCACCAGCTGTTGCTGTTGCTGCTGTTGCTGCTCGTCCTCGGGCTCCGAGTCTAGACTGCCGGCCTCGCTGTAAGCGCCTTGCGTCGATGAATCTTCGGGCGTGTCAAAGAAATGCAAATTAAAATCGGAATTTGCATCGAAACTGACTTCTGGCAACGCTGCTTCGTTCTCCCCGTCCTCCTCCTGCTGCTCCTCGTCCTCCTCCTCGTCCTCTTCTTCCTCGTCTTCGTCCTCCTCCTCTTCGTCGTCGTCGTCGTCGACTTGCTGCTGCTGTTGCTGCTGCTGCTGCTGCTCCTTCTCTGCAATATTTTTCAGTTCGTCCTGCTGCTGTTGCTGTTGTTGCTGCTGCTGCTGCTGTTGCTGTGGGCGTGTCGGCTGCCCCAAGTTCTTTACCACCGTGTCGATCAGCAGATGGGAGCGAATTTGTTCGTGTGCCTCCAGCTCTATTTGGTATACATCCATGTTGCTGGCGTCGCTGCATTCGCATTGGCATTGGCATTGGCATCCATTATCATCATCATCAGCATCATTACGCAAATTGAATTCAACACTGGCAACACTCGCTGGAGCGTTCTCAGCATTTTTATGGAGTTTTTCAGTTCAGACCGATTTTTAATTTCAGTTCGTTTACCACTCGATAAAGTTGTTGTTTAGCAGAACCATTTAGTAAGAATCTTAATTAAATACATATTTATTTACTTGATATTTTTTACTCAAAGACAAATCTAAAACTAAATATAAAACACATTGCAATGCGTATCAATTCTTTTGTTATTTATTTATTAATTTTAGTTAGTTAGTTCTGCTTAAACATTGGTATGGCACACCCTGTACTATAAAATCTAAAAATATATACATATATATATATATATATATATATATATATATATATATATATATATATACATATATATATATTTATTATTGGTATGCTCAAATTTTCAAAGTTCAAGAACTGTTGAAGTCTGAGCAAATTTCTAAGAAGAATGTTCAACTTATTTATAGAACTGCTGAAAATTCGCTTAGAACTAAAACATTTTCACACTTCACTTAAATTGATAAACAATTTGTTTTGGCAACAATGCATAATTTTCAAATCACTTCCGTGTTCCGTTTTCCACTCAAAACTGTTCAAGATTTGCAGGACACTTTTGAATTCGGTGGGGGGACGGGGGACAAAACGCGAGCGGGCGGGCGGTGGGTGATCCAAGGAGACGACGACGTAACTGCGTTTCTTTTTTGGGGGAAAATGCCAAATGGAAAATATTGTGAAAATGTGCGATCGCGCGTACAAAACTCTCGTCTCGACGAGATCCAAGCGCCAACTTCGCAGCGCTCCAAATGCACAACAGAAATTCAAACCAAACTGCAGAACTGCAGAAACCTACGACAACTACAACTACAACTACAACTACAACGACAACCACAACGAGAACGGCGACGGAGCGCAAGAAAAGAACAAGAATAAGAAGAAGGCGCGTGCGTCTGTGTGTGTGTGTCTGTGTGTGTGTGTGTGTGTGTGTGTGGAAAGAGTGGGAAAACTGCATGTGTGTGTGTGTGTGCATGGAGTAGGAAAAACTTTTGTAGCGCCGAGGCAGACTCAGAAGAAGTGGCAGAGGCAGCGGTAAAGGAGGGGGTGCTGTTGCTGGTTGCTGCTGCTTCTATCTTTCTAATCTGCAAGCAGCAACAACAACAACAACAACAACAACAACACACATTGGCACTCTCGCTGCTTGTTGTTGTTGTTGCTGCTGCTGCACTTTTCCATTTGCTGGGGCGACTCGGTTCCTGGTTGCTATTTTCAATTTCTATTGCCCGTGGGCTGCTGCTGCTGCTGCTGCTGCCGCTGCGTCGCAGTCGACGTCGACGTTGACGTTGACGTTAACTTCAAGTGCAAACACTCCACTCAAGATCAATTTCACACACACAACGAACGGCAACGGGTCTAGTGAGAACCGTTACAAAACTTATGCGAGAGAGAGAGAGAGAGAGAAGGAGCGCATAAGTGGGAGAGCAGCAGAGTCAAAGAACCTTTGCGTCTCTTGAGCCTACTCAAGAGGAAGACAGAGACAGACAGAGGGAGACAGAGACAAAAAGAGAGAGAGAGAGAGAGAGAGAGAGAGAGAGTGCAAATGTGAGCACAATTCTACAATGCGGAAGTAAAAATGTTGTAGTTGCACTCGATGTTGTTGTTGTTGTTGTTGTTGCTGTTGTTGCTGTTGTTCTTGCTGGTGTTGCTCTTAGTGTTGCTCTTGTGTTGTTGCTAGGCAATAGAAAGTGCCAAACAAGTTTTGGGCCAAAGATTTGAAGTTGTGCTGGAGACAAACAGGAAAAATATAATTCCTGACGCCCGCAACATAGCGGAAAGAACTATTCATAAAGAGAGAGAATGAATCTGAATCTGAGCCTGAATAGTTGTAGATATATATACATATATGTGTATAGTAGAGATATAGTGGTCAACTACGAATAAGAATAATTCTCTTCTAGAGCATATGTTATTTTACGAATAACTCAGCATAATTCAAATTATAAATATTTAAAATTAAATAAATCAATTTAATGAAGTTCCTTAGTAATATTCTCAACACCCACTGCACTACAAATATCTATATTTATAAAACATATTAATTGGCTGCAAAATATGTTGTCGGTAAAAGTCTTTAAAGTCTATCAGATCGCATGCGTCTTGATTCCTTTCTCCCCCAGGGGCGGGTGGGGGATGCAAATGCTCAATGCGCACAATTTTCCCCATTTCGCAACGATTGCGCTGGCGCTGCGCACAATTTCCATGACGAATGCCTGGCACAAAAGAGAGGCAACGAAAGTCAATGATCAGCGTGTGGCGGCGACTGCGTCTAGTTTGCTATTTTTCCAACGGCAGCGAAAGCAACCAGAAACTGTAAATAACAAGAAACGGCAACAGCAACAGCAACAGCGACGCCAGCGCGAGGATCGAAAGCGAAAAGTCAACGACGCAGCGCCGAAGACGTAGACGAAGACGATCGCGAATCGGCTCGTGGAGCCGATTGAACGAGCGGACAGACGAATGCCCGACTCGCCCGCCTGTCTGCCGCCCCCAACAATCGTAACATGTTCGATTGCAGTTGCCTGATAAAACCTGATCTCGGCAAGCAAAGACACACAAATACATATGCAGACAAGCAGCGACGACGCCATAAGACACGCGACGAGCGACGTTGGCGTCGCCGTCGACGCCGGCGAACCAGGAAGAGAAAAATAACAAATGCCGCGACTGCTGCTGCGGCTGCAGGCGTTGATTGTGTAATCGCTGTCAGTGTGTGCGTTACTGCGAGAGACTGCGAACGAACCTCAGAGAGAGAGACAGAGAGAGAGAGAGAGAGCAATTGTGAGCGTGTGTGAGTGTGTGTGTGTGCTTTGAGTGAGAGTTGTTTGATGGTAGGCAGCCCCTTCACAACAACCACGTGGCCTGTTGTTGTTGTTGTGCCCATTGCCTATGCCAATATGTGGACCATGCCCATTTTTTACTTTGGCGTGTGCGCCCATTGCATTTCACTTATCAACGGCGACGACGACGGCGTCGGCTGCTGCTGTTAGTCATTTTTTTTTTGCTGCCTTTTTATTTGCTTGCTCTCTAAGTTCAATGACTTGAGTAACGTCATGGGCAACAGCAACAACAACAGCAACAACAACAACAGGAAAGTGGCGCAAATGCGTTTAGTTTTATTTATTTGCTCATTATTATGCCCCTGCTGCTAGATTCTTGAATTCTTGTTTACTTTGCACATTTTTTTCATAGCTTCTGTATTTTCTTTGCTTTTTTGCTGCTGCTGCTGCTGCTCTTGTGCCTAGTTGGCGTCTTTAGTTGTTGTTGTTGTCGCTTGTTGGGGCTTGGCTGATATGATAGCAGCAGAGTTGTAAACAAGTTTCAAAGTAGGCGTTAGAAATTATCACTTTTGGTGTGAACTAATATGGTTCTGGGAGTTATTAAGAAGAATTACGAGGGTTACCATTAACAGGGGCTATCAATTTGAAATTTATGCCTGCAGCGGTTGCCAGGCCAATTAAACACTGCAGCGATGCAGGACGAGCGACAAAAAAGGGGATTTCCAGTTTGCCAGATAAAGCCAGTTTTTACGTTGAAATTTTTAATAATATTTCTTTCGATTTCTCTTTTTAAAAAATTAATTAAAAATAAGATTTAATACAAATATAATTGATAAGAATCGAGACGAGAGCAAACCGGGTTTTCCGGCTTTTAATTAACATTTAACATTTATTTTAACCTCATTTAGTTTAAGTCTCTCACATAAATGTAGATTTAATAAGCATAATTTAAGTCAGTTCTAATCGTGCTGCAGACTTAAATGATTTGTGGCTTGCATATTTTTCATAGCATACTTTTGGGAAACGAGCTTAGAGTGGATAGGAAAGATAAGCCTTAGTTATGCGGCAATATCTATGTTAATCTCATTTGGGCGCAAAGATTACTGTATTTTTTATTAGGTTAGCAAATCCTTATCAAAATCAAAGTCTATTTTTAATATATATGTATGCCAGCTCAAACACTGCTGCCACATTAAATATGGGCAACGATAAGATCTCGAAATGAGCCCATTAACTGTGTCAGTCAACTATCACAGCATTCAGCAGGCTATTTAGTCGAATAGACCTTTTAGCTGAAACGATCTCCAGAGTATAAGCGTTTGTGCCAGAAATGCCCATGTCATGGAATAGAATCGCACACAGAAAATCCATATAAATGTCATACACGATGCCACACAGCGGCAAAGAGCAGCAGCTGCCACACGGGCCTACAGCACAGATTGTTTGCCTGTGGCATGTGGCATGTGGCGTGCCTGGCCAACACTTCTGTAAGCTTGTGTGTGTCTGCGACCGACTGCAGCAGCAGCTGTTGTTTCCCTGGTGATGGCAGAGAAACCAAAAACCCAAACCCAAACTAAACCCAGCAGAAACGACATTTTGGGTCGAGTAACCTCAATGGAAGCTGAGGGCGGGAATGCTGAGTGGGCAAGTGGGAAGCGGAGTCGGGATGGGGGCAGCTAGAGGAATGTGCAATGTTTGGCTGAATGTCAGCAACCTCAATAAAATGCAGCGATTTTATGCGTTGCTGTCATTGTGGCTGTTGTTGTTGCTGTTGTTGCTGTTGTTGCTGTTGTTGTTGTTGCTGTTGTTGTTGCTGTTCTTGCCGTTTCTTTCCTGGGTCATGATCTGTTTCGTGAGCGAAACTGGGCAGCTATAAATAACAGAGGCAAAGCAACAAAAAAGCCAACATAAAAAAAAATACACAAAACAATATCTAAGCAAAGTGTAACAAACGTTTTTCATACCCTGTTCGAGTTAGAGAAGTGGCTATGTTGAAAGAGAGTAGAGTGAGAAAAGCAATGGAAACTATGTCAATATAAAAGTTTTGTTTATTGATTAATAATCAATCTGAGAATTTCTAGAATATATTAAAGAAAAAACTATATTTTGATGGGCTTAAAAGCTCCATTTAGCTGTACTTCAAGTACTCAAAGAGAATCAAGAAAGTATATATATATATATATATATATTTGATAATTATGAATTTCGGAGTTTTCCCTAATTTATACAATAAATGTTGGACCATTTTGCATTTTAAAACCCACAAAAATCTCATCAATCTTATAATTATTGCTTATTTTTATCATTGAAATTTATTATTCAAATTTATTTTTAACTTTTTGGATTAATTTCTGATATTTATTTGTGTAGTACTTGCCCAACAAGATGTCTGTGGAACCGGAATGTGAGCTCAGCGATGAGATGTGATCATCCGATGGACTTTGGGGTGCTTCTCTTAACGGACTGCTGGGCGTTGTGGGTGGCGTGTTGATGCAACGTTGACTGCCCAATATTATTGCTGCCGTTGCAATTGCAGTTGCAGTTGTTGCTGACGCTTCGCTGGCTTCCGTTTCGCTGCTGCAAGTGTAGTTGCTAAGAACGGATAACCTGAAAAGGCGGCAAGTTCAATTGAAAACCTTTTTAAAAATGCAAATATTTAAGCATTGTCCATGTTCCTTTGCCAATGCCAGACTCAATTGAATGCCAATGCCAGTTGTCTTTTGTTAAATTATTAAAATGATTATCGCATATCGATTGCCAATTGTCTTTATTTGGAGGCATTCCCCCCAAATCAACCCGACCATTTGTCAAAGACTCGGTTCTATTCATTTGCCGACCAAAGCGAAGTAATTGATTGGAAAAATGGCCACTCGCATTGAGTGCAGTGGAGCACAAGCACAGGCAGCCCAACCCAACACCAACCCCAACCCCAACCCTTAAACCCACCCCTAAACCCCTCCAGAGTCTATAGAACTCGTAAACTTATCGCTGCTCGTTATTGCACGTAATTGGCCATTTTCCTTAGAAGTCCGGCACAGAATTTATTGAATACCAGCTAATATGGGTTGATGGAGAGAGCGAGCGAGATAGAGACACAGAGAGAGAGAGAGAGAGAGAGAGAGAGAGAGAGAGAGAGAGAGAGAGGGAGAGTGCCTCAAAAGTGGGCGCAAAATGTAAAACACCCACTTTGATCGATAGTTTAAGCCAAATACATGTTTAGTTTAACTTTTACCGGTTCTTATTTATATTGTTCTTTGAGTAAGCTAAATAAACATGACTTTTCCAAATAAATTTACTTTTGCTTAAAGTTGCCAACAGCATTTCATTAAATTTAGTTCACTAACTCATAGTTGCTCATACGCACTGTGGTTGCTGTGAGAAACAAGGCAAAATGTTTCTAGTAAATTGCTTTATTCACTTTATTTATGCATACGCACTGCAGTTGTCCCCCTTCTATCCCCCCCCCTCCCCCTCCACATTCCCATTCCAATTCCTGTTCCTGTTCGCGTCCCCGTTTCCAGTTACCCAAGGCAACCAGCCACAAGCCAACTTGCTTTGTGGCATCCTTTTCATTTGACAGCAGCCATAGAAGCAACCATTTCAATTACCAGACGTCGACTATAAGATACTCTGTAATTTTTTCATTTTCTTTGTTTATTTTATAAATTTAGAGTTGTTTTGGATTTTAGTATTACCAAAATACTGTTTTTTAGTCTAATTTCTCATTTCAGAATCAATTTGAAGAGTTCTTTTGAACGACTTTTTAACAGAGTTTAAGTTTTATAAACTTATAGGAAAGGTTTATCAAGTCTTTTTTCTCATTTTAAAAATAAGCTTTAAGAACTTAAATTTATATATTTGCCTTTCTAAGAAAAGGTCCTTAGAAACTTATTTGAAATCGTTATTAAAATACTTTCTTTTTAAGCCTTTTCTCTCACTTTAAAACTAAGCTTTAAGAATTAAAATTTGTTGTTTATCTTACATTCTAAACAAAGTTCTTTATCTCAATTTGCTGTTCCCTATTCGAAAGTTTTGTTTTGTTTCTGTTGCACATACTCCCCTTGGTCAACTGTTTTCGATTAGAGGGCACTTTGAAAATCAATACGAGTTTTGCATGCCCATCTCGCAGGACTTGGCCATCCGCATCGCTGGGCTGTTTGTTGTTGTTGTTGTTATTGTTGGTTGTTTGTTGTTGTTGGTGTAGCTGCAACACCAACAGATTCAGCCAGATATGCCTTGTGCTGAGCTTTATTGCATTTCGTTTGTGGCGCCTCCCCCCCCCTGCTTTGTACAGGCATTTTAAAATGCTCTGCCCATCAGTCCACCTTCCTCCTCCTCTGCCTGCTTGTCTGGCGTGTAGTTTGCTTTTGCAATATATCAACGTTGTTATGCACTTCACACACACCAACACACACACACTTGGACACATGGACAGACAAGTGCAGCAGCATCCCCAACATGCACTCAAAGCACACAGATTCTCAGCTGCTGCTGCTGTTGTTGCTGCTGATGTTGTCACAATATTTTCGCTTTTTGAAAGCACAAGTGAAATATTTGCCCATGTGGCGTTTTTAGTTTCTGCCAAGAAGCCGCTTTGTCATGTGCCACACTGCGTATGTGTGTGTGCGTGTGTGTGTGTGTGTGTTTTTCTCTCTGTGCTTTTCTGATGAAATGTGCAAAATTGAACTTTTGATTTATGCATGGGCATTGGGAATCGAGGGAAGGCTTAGAATCTCATCATTTTTTCTTTTTTTTTGCGGCTGCCTGGCATGGTTTGCTTATCGTCATCGCCATCGCCATCGCCTCCTGCTCCCACTTGGTCCATGTCATTTTCACATTTGCACTCATCAACACCAGCCCGCGGGCGCGTGGGCGTGGCATGCCGGCAAGCAAGCAGCAGCCAGGCGATAATAACAATGGCAAGTTGCTGCGGCTTTTGTTAGTTGTGACTGACTGACTGACTGACTGACTGTGCTGTGCTGACTGCGTCGGGGGCAGGAAGTAGGTTAGTGGCTCACTCGTCAGCCAAATGATGAATGATGAGCAGAGCTCTGGCTTCTGGATGCCACAAAACTTGTGCTATTTATTTTCTATTTTTCCAGTTTTCCATTTTCCTTTTTTCATTTTTGCTGTATAAATTATGCGACATAAAAGCCACTCGTGCCTGGCCAATTGTGTGTGGTTAATTAAAAAAAATAATAAATGTATGCCGCTCAGGTGTGGCCATCTCAAAATGGGGCAACTACTAATTTATATTTATATAGAGTATATAAAATATTACCTGGTTTGCGGCTCGTGCTCCTCGTTGTGATTCAAACACTTTGAGTTTGAATACTCCATGGATTGCCGGCCCTCAATGGGGCTGGCCGTTGTTGAGTGCAAGCACTAAAATACATTTAAACAGCTGCTGTTTGTGCCCTTTTCAGATAGGTCCAATAACCAACAAAACAACAACAACAAACACAACAACAAGAACCGCACACAAATCAATTGAGGCCGAAACTTTTATGCGCTGCGCCTAAAAGATGCCATGGATTTTTCTCTGCATCTGCACTTTCACTACATCGATTCGTATTTAACGGCGCTTTACTGTTTTTATTTTGTTTTGTTTTGTTTTTTGTTTTTAAGCTTTTTCGTTTAGTTTAAAATATTGTTCACGGTTGAAGTGAGGACATTTTTTCGGTTTATTTCAGTGGTGTAGTTGTCAGTTGTCCATTTGTGTGAATCGGCATTGCGGAAATGCTGTCGCTGTTTGTTGGTTGCACTCATAACTGGCATATAAAACTGTAAATCGGCTTTTGGACACACTGCTGCAGCGTTGCACGCTGCTTTAGCTGCTGCTGCTGCTGCTGCTGGTGGTTGGAGACCGAGCGACCAGCCTCTGGGCCGAAAAGCACGACGACAGCGACACTAGCAACGACGACAGCAACAAAATGCAGCAAAACTTTTTAAAGCTGCAAAATAGCATACACACACACACACACACATATACACACGCATGCACGCACACCTATGCACAGACACAGGCACAGGCACAGGCAAAGGATGTGCCGTTGAACGAAGAGCGAGCGAACAAAACAATCACATGGTGCAAGCTCGCCGCAACAACAACAGCAACAGTCGCCGCATCGTCAGCTTCTTATATACATATAACGGTGCCGCAAAAACATAAACAGAGAGCCCAACCATCCAAGCCGACAATCGACAAACGCGACAAGAGAGCGTCAAATGAAAATGGCAGCCAAAAAGTGCAGTCAAAAATATATTAAAAAAACAATGCACAAATCAACCTTGCAAAATGTAAAATCTAATTAGCAATTGCAGCTTGTATATTAAAATGAAATAAAACGGAATATTTTAAACTTTAAACTTGTGCATATGAAAAGTTTTTGGTTTTACAGCTGCGCTCTCACGCCGGCGCTCTCTCTCTCTCTCGCTCCCTCTCTTTCAATGCATTGCTCTGCTTTTGCTCTGCCCACGCGATGCAGAATGGTGTGCACATAATGGAAATCAGGTCAGGGCCGTTTTGCTCACGCTGACTACCCACCACTCACACACTCACACACACGCACACAGACACAAAGAAAAGCTTTCGTTGTTTTACTGTTGAGCGGCAAAAAGCTACAAAGAGCTTTGAAAAGTGCTGCAACTAGAAGAAATAAGCAAAAAAAATTCGATTTTGTTTTAAAGGTACACAAATTTCTTTTAATCATTAGTAACAAATATATGCTGTATAAATACGTACTTCAAAAGCTTAAACTATTCATGTATGTATGTATATATATATATTTCAACTTAAAACATATACAAAATCGAGCACCGTCTAAACATCAAACAAAACATAATCAGGATGAAAATATAAATACTACACAAAAAGAGAGAAAGCTTTTCCTGTAAAAAGAACGTTATTATTTGAAAAAACTCTTGTTTTTAGGCACGTGCGGTTTCAGTTAGATTCAGTTAAGTTTTCTGTCAGTTAACACAAAAGTAATAGTTATTATTAGTTGGCAAACACACGGAACGAGCAAGTCCTTTAGCTGCTCCTCTTTTTTAAATTTTTCTTCTTTTCTTTTTTAAGCTACACACTTTTGTAAACAGGCACATTTTGGCTTCGTAATTTCGATGCATTCGCGAGAAAAAAGGCAACGCTTTTTACTCATTTTCAAGGCAGGGCTACGATTAGCGCTTCATCTTCTCCAGAATGGGCACAACCATATCGAATTTGGGCCGCTTGCCCGAATCCTCATTCATGCAGATCGAGATTAGTTTGGCCATATGCGAAGACGTTCCTGGCGGTATTTTAACACGCAATCCCTCGAGGGCAATCTTCATGCCGCACTCCATGGGCGACCATTCGGCGAAGGGCACCTCGCGTGTGGTCAGCTCCCAAATGATGATCGCAAAGCTCCACATATCGGATGCCTCCCAATTGCGATCGCTTGGCTTGCGTTGCAACGCTTCCGGCGACATCCAAGCGGGCTGATAGATGCGTCCCTTCTCCTGGAACGAAAACTTGGCATCGCCCATACTAATCCTCGCCGTAAGATCATCATCGATCATCACATGATGACTATTCAAATGATAAGTGGGTATAATCCGTTCCAGAGAATGCAGATATGCCATGCCACGTGCAATGCCCAAGGCAAAGTGCACCGCCTGACTGGTGTCCACAACGACACCCGAAGCTCCATGCAACAAATTGAACAGCGATGAACGTGGCATGAACTACAAATAAGAGAAATTTAAGCGAGATTAGAAGCTGATAATGAGTCACTAGCACTGTGCTCACTTGACTTATGACAACCAGATTGGGTGGCGAGTTGCAGGCACCGATGATGGGCAATATGTTGGGATGCGAGAAGATGCGCAGCTTGGGAAACTCCTCGTTAAAGTCTCGTGACATGCGCGACGTGCACTGACGCACCGCCAGAATCTATGGACACCAAATATGGATAGATATATTTATAGATAGAGAAGATTGCTTAAATGCTGATCAGTACCTTAGCTATGACATCGTTCTTCTGCCAGCGACCGCGCCACGTTTCACCCGATGGCGTCACGGAGACCTTCGTGTGCAAGTCCAGATCCCCCATGCTGATGCCCTTGAAACGGGATAAGGTGGCGTCTCTTGAGCGTGTTTTCATGCCCAACCAGCTCTGCTCCTTGAAACTGATGACCTTCATTTCCTGCCCGCTCTTCTCAGCCAGATCCTGTATGCGTTTGCCCAAACTGGGCTTGGCCTTGTCCACCGGCGTATGCCCATCCTTGTTGGCAATGCTGACCAACGCGCCGGCGCTAAGCAGATCCTCACAGATCATATCGTAGCCCCAGAAGCAGGCGTAATGCAACGGTGTATTCCCATGCTCATTCACAGCATTCACATCGGAGCGTTCGCGCAGCAACTGAACGGAATCAATTTTAAATTGAGTTGAGCTGAATTGAATTGAGTTCTCTTTTTTTGTTACTCACCATTTGAACCACGTCGCGATGACCGTGGGCGGCGGCCAGATGCAGGGGAATGTCGTCACCCATGTTGGTGGCATTGACGCGTGCGCCGCGCTGCAGCAGCGTCTCCACTAGCTTGGCATGTCCCTCTTTTGCCACCCAATGCAGCGGACTGAAGCCATGATCATCACTGCCGAAGCATAAATAAAGAGAGTGACAGAGAACGCGAGCGAAAGAGAGCGAAAGAGAGAGGGCCCATGTTAAGTTATGTTTGTATGTGTGCAAAGGTTGTTTACACAACACTAGAATAAATCATGACGTCAGTTTAGCGATACGCCTTAATTGATTTATGTGCAATATGCTGCTCGACATATCAATTTATATTTTACAATTACTTATATTAAAATGAGTGGAATTTATTATTTGTTTGGAGTGGTATTTGGCAATGATTTAAACTACATTTTTACCCCAAATTCATGTCATGCTCGGTTTCATCCAGCCAGAGGCGCACTTGAATTGAGTTGCCCTCGCGGCACCAGTGGAAAATATCTTCCATATTGGCTCGATACGCGTATATTATGTTCTTAAAGAATGTTTAGATAACAATTTGCACTCGATTTACATTCAAATAACGTTTAAAATGCGTAAATTTGCAGCAGTTGTTTGCTTTTGCTGGTTCGTTATGCTGCTGGCTGGTCACACTACCCTTATACAGCAACAAACAACTCAACATTCGCTAAACTGTTATTAACAGCGAGTTGCAATTCTTAATGCATAAATGGCTCGTCTTTTAGTTTTAAAATTTAACAGGACAATGAGTTTTTTTAATTAAATTTCATTATGTAAAAGACGCTTAATTAAAAAAAGTAGTACTAGAAATTTGAATTTTATTCCCACAATTTGTGCAAGACTCGTAACAGCTGCATTGCTATCGATAACTTTGTCAATGTGACCAGCATGCTAAGCAATAACAGCTGTTGTTCACGCGCTTCCTGGTGAATGACTAAAACGTGCATTTACCGTACCGCATTTGTTTTCATTTAAAATCATAAATTATTGTTATTAGCAAAGCCAATTGTTAAAGCTACATCATGAAACTGAGCACATACAATTTTCTAACCTCAATGGCCATTAAGGGCGTGAAAGTTGGTTATCCACTGAAACTGACGGTGAGTTCAATTCGATCATTTATTGATTGTTTCATTGACCGCTCAAAAGTTTCTTTAGATTAGCAAAAAGGATGTGGTTGAGAGCGAATTTAATCCAGTATTTATAGAGCGACTGCTGCCCAAGCTGGACTGGTCAGCCGTCTATGGTGCCGCCCAGGTGGTGAGTGAATGTGCATCCCTTAAAGAAATCCCCCCTAAGAATGCATTTTGTTGCAGGCGGAACTTGCCGAAGATATTCCCGCAACGCAACCCGAGAATATTAGCGATGATGAGCAGTTGTTGCAGAGATTGCATCATTTGCTCTTTGAGATCGATGTGCTCGAGGGTCAGATGGAGTGCCCCGAAACGGGACGCATCTTTCCCATCACCGATGGCATACCCAACATGCTGCTAAACGAGGACGAAGTTTAAACTACATTAAAAAAATTAGTTTTATAGTTTTAAATATCGATTTATGTATTTTTCAAGCTGACAAAGTTTGTTTATAAAAAATTCAATTGGAGATTGGATGGAACAGTAGGATGTATATATATATATATATGTGTGTGAGTTGTGCGTGTTAGACTTAAATATTCTCGAATATATATAGCATATATAGTTTATACACAGTTTGTGGAACACATGTAGAGCAAAAATGTTGCGACGACATAGAAAAAAAGTGAAGTCTGGATTTCTTGGATGGTGCATTGTGTTTTATATTTCATATTTGGCACTCGAAAGAAAGGGCTTTGCTGCTTCGAGGGTCCTAGTTGCATTTAATGTTGGCTCCCTTGCCCTGCGCATAAATGCTACCCTTGGTCAGATCCTTCTTGGCACCCTTGCACAGCTCCGCATTGCGTCCACTTGGCTTGTAGCTACGCTCTCCATTCAACAAACTGGCATCCGCTCCATGTGGTATATGCTTCTGGGTCAACGTCGTATTTGGACCATTCCAGGTGACATAATCAGCACTGTGAAAGGAATGCTTTTAGCAAAAAAACAGTTTGTTTACAGTTTGATGCCGACTTACAGCAAGAGATTCTCATCGGCTCCTTTGGTCAGCTGCGAATTGGGTCCTAATGTGGCCATTCTTTCGATAAGCGATTGAAATTCCGAGGATTCCAAATTGTGTGCGGTATCCAAGAGCGAAGAATGCTGACGTTGTCTGTTAGAAGCAACAAAATATCTCAATAAAGTTTTGGTTTTGAGGGATTCAATTAAAATGTATTCGAATTACAAAATACATGCCAAAAAAAATTATAAACGAAAAAAAGGCAGAAAACGTGCGAAAAATGCATGCGTAACTGTACATAAATAACGGGTAAACGGTTATAGGTTAACGGTTTAACGGGCATACTTCAGTGAATCGGGTTTGATGCGCGCGCGACTTTCAATTGCCTTCGTTATGGAGCTGGCCGAGGCGGATGCCAAAGATGAGGACGTCATTGATGTGGAATAGGAGGAATAGCTGCTCGCACTGCTATGCGAGCCATGCAAATAGCCGCTGATGCCATAGCTGTTGTTATTGTTGTTGTAATTGTTATTGTTGTTGAGGGAACGCGCCAGGATGCTTTTGGTGGTGAGGCGTTCGTAGGGTGACTGGGTGACTGGTGAGGCATATGAATGCGTTGATGCACTGGAAATGGGTGATGTGACCAATGTGGTTTTCTGGCTTGCCTCGGGAACGGCGGCTGCCACCGTCACCTTCTCATTCCCATAATCATTATCTGTTTCCTGCGTTGGCGTATTGCTAAGAATGATCTGTGTGGTGGCCGTTGTCGGTGTGGTGACATTGATGGATGGAAAGTGACGGTGCAGCTTATGTGGCTTGCTGGATGATGTTGATGTTGATCCAGATGATGATGATGACCATGATGATGATGATGGGAGCAGCGAAGCAAGCAAAGGTGTGTGTTGAGCATATTTTGGTTTAGTATTTTTTTTTTTTTTGTGGAAGCAACAAAGTTTTACAGAGAAAATAGGCAAATCGATTAACAAAATTGATAAAAGAAGCAGCAGCAGCAAAAGCAGACGAGGTGCAGCAGCTGACAACTGAGCAGGGGGGATGATGAGGGAGGGGGCGGACTAAAGCAAAACAGAAGCCTCTAACAGCTGCAGTCTTGTAGGGGAAGGTGGGTGCTACACACCTGAGTGGAGCAGGTGCATCCATTTGATCCGTTACAACCGTTTGGATGCTGTCCAAGGCCAAGCCATTGGCCACAGCCTGCTTCTGATTGCGTTGCTCATCCTCGTCCTGAACGATTTGCAGTATTTGCGTAGCACGATCCTCGGCATAGTTGACAGACTCCAGAGCCATTAGAATAATGCGCTCAGCGACTTGGGGATACCTCTCCTTGAGCAGTGCCTCCACTGTAAAGAGAGAGAGAGAGAGAGGGAGAGAGAGAGAAATGAGTCTGGTTCAAGCTATAAGGGATTAAGTGCTCACTGTCTGTCTTCTCCTCGGCTGTGTACTCCTTGGGACGCAGTGGAATGTGCCTGACAGCCTGATCATTGCCAGCCTGCTGATCCGTTCCCATCTGCGGGGGACGATTGTTGGGTCTGTGCGGCAGCTGCATATCCCTCTTGGTGTAACCCAATGAAATCAGCTTCTCCGAGGCGAACTGCACATTGTTGTCCGCATTGGCCAAAATATCGAGCAGCAGCATCTCATCCGCCTTGGGGAAAATATTCTTCATGTATCTAAGAGCAAAAAAACACGTTTAAATAACTCCGTTAACAAAACGACAAAGAACCTTGTGGAGTACGACAACAATCCAGGTTCTAGATGAAAAGCATCAAACTTAAGGATCTAAGAAACATTTGCTTGTCTTGGACATATACAGTGTGAAGATAACGAAACAGGAAATAAATATTTAAGTCGTTGCTGTCAGTGAGTAAGTTTCTTAATCCAAGTTACTTATGCTGCCTAGTAAGTCCCGATTAAATGCTATATACAAAGGATCTAAAGAATATTTTATAAAAATAAATACAAATTACAAATTTCAAAAAAAGTGTCTAATTTCTATGCACAATTTCCATTAGCTAAATGTTTTGAATATTAATCAGGGCGGCGCACCTCAACTTCATTTTGGGCGATGAATGTGGTTTGGGTGAACTGCGCCACTGCGGCGAACCGTGCAGACCCACAACTCCCACCCCGTGAACAGCATGGGCGGCAGTCAGGGGGGGAGTGGCACTGTGCATGCTCATGAGACTACCAATACGGCCGCCGGGCAGAGGGCTGGCCGTGCGTGAAGTGACTGTTACCCGGCTAGCGCCCATGTCCAGGCGGCGCGCCGGTGGTGTCATATAGAAAGCAGAATTGCTGTGGAACAGATGCCGCTGCGCTGGCGGCGTCACAAACGGACCCGGCATCGTCACCGGATGCTTCTCCACCTGCAACGCACTGATGACGACGGCCTCGCGATTATAATAGCTGGATTAGTAAGCATTAGTGAGTGTGTGTGAATGTGTGTTAGTGTGGAGTAAGTGCAGCAAGCGGCAGCGTGTGAGAAAGATAGAGAGATACACAGATATATATATGTATATATATACACAGAGATTAGCAGTGGATCAAGTGATGAGCAATCCGCCTTACCGTTTCAATAGCAGACGAATGTGGTTCTCATCGGCAGTGGGGAACATGTTCTGTATTTTGGTGACCACCGCCTGTGTCTCACTTGGATGACTAAACGATGTCTCCTGTATCGTGGAGCGACGCGACATATTTGAAGCCAGCCGAGCACGCTGAAAGGGCAACGGCGATGACATTTCCTAGGGGATACAATTAAATGTAATTACGGGTTAGCACTTGAAACAATAGTTGTAGTCGGTATGCCGAAGGTTAAAATACCCTACATCCATTAAATTAATTATTAAGATAAAACAAAATGTGATAAACAGCGATAGAAATGTGAAAAGCATTATAAAACCCGTAACTGGGCAGTTTTGTCAGGATATCGTTTAATCAATTGCTTCAATTGGAGCTCGTTGAGATAGTTTTCCGAGGTTGGACAATTGTTGTCTAAGTTATAAGTGATTCGTCTTAATGTGACTTTCATTGCGATATCTTAGGAAAGGAAACAAGTTTCTCAGATGGATGAACAAAGCGACAAACCAACAATTCTGTCCTCTATTTCTAATATATAATAATATAATAATATCTTAACTAGTCTGACTGGGTTTTTTCTGGCTTTTAAATATCAGCAAAAATCTAATTTTATTTTGAATTTAATGTAATTTATTTATTACTTTTTGGACTATACTGTGTCGACTGATATTGGTTCATATTAAATAAGTAAACAGAACGACTCGGCTCATCAAAAATATATATATACTTTATAGATTCAGTGACGTCTACTTCAGCAAAATTATAATAGCCACTGTAAGTACCTAATTGTTGTTGTTTAATTTATTATAAGTCATTCCTACCAGTTGGCCGCGCGAGGAGGCGGAGAGCAGCGGACTCGTTGATAGATTGTGGAGGGCGGGCTGGTGGCGTTCACGGTCCTGGAAGGCACGCACCGCTGTTAGATTATTGCTGGGATGCACGACGTGATAGGGTGAACTGTGATGGGAGTTCGGTGCAATGTGCTACAAATGGAGAGTAGGTGTCAACACATTGAACTCGTTGAGTGGCCAAGCGAAGTGGGAATTGACCCGCAACACTCCCCAAAACACTCACCTGCAACGCTATCGACTCTGTGGAGCAGCGTTCGTTTTGCAACTGTTTGTAGTTGCGTCCGCCACGTGGATCCTCCAGCTGCATTGCCTTGGTCAGATAGTTTATGTAATAGCTGCAAATGACACACAAACGAGGCACACATAGTCAGTTGGGGTCAATTTGGCTTGCAGCGTGTAAAAGTGCAAATCAAAGGCCATAAAATAGATACAACCCCCTCTTATATATACCCTTAGAAAAGCTAACAGCATTGGGGGTTGATTTTTGAGCTGTGAACAACAACAAAAAACAAAACAGACACACACACTTTGATGGCACATTTGGGAAATTTGCGGCCCGTTGAGTGTGGCACATGCACACACAGGTAAAAAGGGTAAGAGAGATGATAGAGAGTGAAAGTGAGGCAAGCTCCTAAACAGCGACACGTGCCAAGTAGCTGCCAAAAGGCAGACATCATCACATTTGACAGCTAATCCCGGCACTGATTGCAGCTGACTGACTCTGCCAACTGCAGAAGAGTCGAGCTGAGACTCTTCTCAAGTAGCCACTTGAATTTAACGTACGACAGTCGCTGCTTAATTGCACACAGCACACAACTCTGAGCAGGAGACGCACAAGTAGCTACCAGCTACCAGCTAGCAGCTGGGAGGAGCCGCAGCTGTATTTTTGCGGAAGTAACACAATTTATGCGCCTAAATGGGGCCAATTGGCATTGCGGGGGGCGTCTTTGTGTAGGCCTCAAGTGTGTTGCTTTGAGCATAATGACTACCTTTAAAGAGTTGCACCTAAAGAGAAGCAAAACTACAAAAGTCAATTTAAGTTTGTATTTCTTTAAGATATATAGAGAATGTTTGTAGAAAGTAAAATAACATTCTCATCGAATCACAAAGTTGTTGCCCGTTTTAAGAATTGTATTGTAATCAATAGTTCTTTTTACTTGTTTCTTAAACTCTAAAATGAAGTATATTTTCTTAAAATACTGTTCACTTTTAAGCACTAGTTTTGCTATATTCCATAAAATTAGCAATGGAAAAGTGTAGTAACACTTATAAATCAATTGCCTTTATTTTTATGCATATTTACTATTTAAACTGGCCTAATTAACATGAATAGTAGTTTTGTTTAAGACTTTATATTATATTTTCTAAAATTAGCAAAGGAAAACTGAAGTAATATAATTGTTATTATTATTTATATTCATTTCTGTTATTCTCCATATTTTAATATTTATTAAACGGCTGTCAAGCATGCCACATTATACTTGTTTGGCTGTTGCTTACAGCATTACTCATTGCTGTACTCGTTGCTTAAAATAAGAAAGTCCTTAAGCACTTTCATCTCTCGAGAACAACTTTACTTATAATTAGCATACCCAATTAAGCTGCCAAAGTCCTGTCCTATGTGCCTCAATCACACTAAGCCCCAATTTATGCCATGCTATTTACAGCGTACAGCCAACAGCTAACAGCACTTGACATTTAACGTGGACTCCACCCCCAAAAAAAAAACAATCAATTCGCCTACTGCCTGCCCCCCAACTGCTGGTTGCCATAGAATTCTCTCACTTGCTGTTCAAATGTCGCCGCCTAAAAGCATGCAATGGAAATTCTGCGCTTACATTGTGGACTGTGTACAAGTAACAGTAAAACCAGTCAGTCTACTTCCTTCCTCCGCCGCCCGACCCTTCACTGCATGCAACACACACATTTCTAAGGTGCTTTTTATTTGTGTGTTTCAATCGCATGCATAAATATTTTTTATGCACTCATGTTTCTGTTTGTATATGCGATATATACGATATCTGCCAGTACTTACCAGTTGCCCGTTGCCTGATCATATTTACAGTCCCAGCCGGGCGGCATTTTCTGATAGCCGCCATTGGGGCCAGCATCGCTCATGGTGGATGCTTAATATTTGAATATCGTTTTAAATATATAAATATATATATGTATATATATATATATACAAATATATAGGCGTTTATATATTTTTAAGTGTGTATTTTTATTGAATATTTATAGGTATTCAAAGAGGAATTCGCAGCTTGTTTGCCAACTGTCTGCAACCCCGAAAAACTTTGCCAGGATTTGCCCTTGCCACTCGAGCTTTGTAGTTGTTCGTTCGCTGTCGCTGGGGGTTGTTAACCACCACCAGGACGCACACACACACACACACACACAACTACACACAGTCACAACAAGCACAGCTATTTTTGTTTACAACGCGCAGCCGGGAAAAAAAACAAAACACACACACACACACACACATAGAGAGAGAGAGAGCAGCGTGCCGTTAGTGATAGAATTGTTATTAATCCGAGTTGTCCTGGCTGCTGTTGCTTGTGCGCTTTTGTGAGAACAACCGCACGTATCAAGCTATTAACGTCTACTGACTTGGCTAGCGCACACACAGACAGCCGTCGGCACTGGAGATGCTGCGCGGGAGAGAGCTTTTTCCAATTTCTTGGCGCTCAGCTCCAGTTGTAGTGTTGGCAAACGCCATTGACAGCAGTAAGCTTTGCTTTGGCATTTAAATACGTTGTTCAAACGTTAAGCACAGTCTGAGTGCAAAAAATAACACTTTCTGTTCACAAATTGAAATTTAACTCAAACAAAATGTCGGTGAGGGATCCACACATTGACATGCCGGAGATACGCATAACGCGTATTTCGGACAATTATTTACAATATGCCGCCAATGAGGAGAACGAACAGAAGCCACGCCCACCCACCAGGGCACAGAAGAAGGCGGCGCGCAAGGAAGCCAAGCGTCTGCAGAAAGTTGAAGAACAGAAGCTGGTCATGCGCGTAAGTAAATCAACACCAAAAACTAATTTTCAAAAAAATCTCAGAAATTTAATAAAACCAAGCCTCGAGTCAATGGAAATAAATCCAGGATTGTTTTCGTTTATAATAATTAGGATGGTTCTCGTTTAAAGATATAAACATGTATAGAAAACGCTTTAGATATGAAATTGATTACTTTAAGCAATATTATTATATCTTATTTCTTATTATAAATGCATCTTTAAGGAAACTCAAGCTTTTCAAGTCTAAAAATGCTTATAATGAGTATATATGCAATATTTTGTAGTCCTTATTAATAATAACTTATACCAAGTGAAAAATATTAAAAAGCCGAAAAGTATTAGAATTAGAACAACACTTTTCTGCGAGTGTAGTGTGGACTTAATTGAATGTGAATACGCCCACAGCATGCCCTGGAAGTGGAGCTGGAGCTGGGCAAGCGCATGGAGCAGCGTGGCAAGGAGGAATGGGACGAAATGGCATCACAGATCAAAATTGTTGAGTTGCGCGACGAGATGATCCAGTGGGGGGAACAATCTCAGCGCATCATCGACAATAAGAACGATCGCATCCAGATGCTGCTGGATGATATGGCGCAGACGCATCGCCAGCAGTCGCGCAGCTTTGGCAAAACGCTGGAGCTGATCGATCACATTGACGACTGCTATCAGGCGATGCTCGAGGGGACTAAAAATATGTACGAGCAGCAGGCGGAGGATCTGCTCAAGGAGTACTACGACGAGGTGCATCTGCGCACCGAGGAGGTGGACGCAATGCGGCAGAACAGCGAGAACATTATCCATGCCTCCAATCTGAACACACGCCATCAACTGCAGGAGGACTACAAGATCTATCTGGAGCAGCGAGACGATAATGTCAATCGCGAGATCGAGCGTCGTTTCGAGATACGCGATCAGGTTGTCAATAAAATGCTGGAGATGCAACGTCAACTAAACGATTTCGTCGATTCGCTTCACAACACTGAATTGGATGCACACAAATATGAGAGAATTCGCTCGCTAACCGAACGCCAGCAGGCCTTCTTCGAGGAGAGCAAAAAATTGGATGCCGAGGAATCGAAGATGATAAACAAACAGAATGAAATCCAAACTGAAATGCTGCAAGTCGAAACCGAGAACAATTCGGTGATCAATGATCTCCGCCTGGAATTCGAGTATTTTTCGAATGTGCGCAAGAAGATCGAGGAACGGATGCACTCCGATCGCACAACCACACACGAAAAACTGCGCATCCTCAGCACGGAGTGTTACGAGTTGACCAAGGTACAGTTCACAATACATCCAATCTTCAGTATGGTAACACTAATCCATCCTGTAGAAATTCGAGAAAATCGTCAAGAGCGGTGAACTGCTCCTGGCACTATCCATCACATGTCGCAAATTGCAAACCGAGTCCGAGAAGATCATTGTGGGCGGTGAGATTGTGGAGCCCATCGATGTTGGTGAAGTGGATGAGCATTTCACGCTGCAAACGCTGGACATTAAGAAGCATGTGGATATCAGCGAAGAAGATCTGGTCAATCTGAATAAAAGCCTGAAGAACTTTTGGCGCCAGCAGGCCATGGCTCAGGCCCAGAACCTGCTGTTGCTGGAGGAGAAGCGTTCGTTGACCGAGGAGAATCAACGTTATATCGATTTCATCAAATCTATGAGCAAGACGGACAATGCCGAGGAGTTGCGCTCTGCAATGATTGTGCAGCCCGTCATCGAGAAGGTTCCACTGCTCTTCGATACCAAATGTCGTTTCTACAAGCTCCGCAATACCAGGGAGTCTATAACAGCTGACAAGGATGCCAAAAAGCAGGCAATGCTTACCATTAAAGCTCTCACCTTGGACAATCTGTAAACGGATTCTAAATTCTTTAATTGCTCCATTTAAAAGACATATTAGTTCTGTGAGTTCTTAAAGTTTATAGCTATTTATTAGCTGACAATATCATATTAAATAACAAGCAACTAGTGAGTGTATATAATTATATCAAACTTTTATATCGAAGTGATATTCAACTTAGGCACTAATCAAAAGTCCTTTGGTCAGAATAGAAATGCAAAAGCTACTTTACTTCTATGACATGAATATGTTTTTAGATCGGGGCAGTTTTCTTTGCAACACTGGCTCATCTTCTTGAAGAGCTTAAAGCTCAGCGGTTTTAGTTAAAGCTCAGCGGTTTGATCTTCAGCTTCTCGGCCAAGGCGGCGCAAGTCTTGAGCTGGTTCTCCAGATATTGAATACCGCCAGCTGCATCCACAGCCTTCATGTTGTTCTTCTCCTTGTCGCCGGCCAGCAGCACAGGCTTCTTAGGATCGGTCTGTGAAGTTTCGAGAAGATTGAGAACATTGTATAAAGCTGAACAAAACAAAAAATACTTACTGGCGTTGTGTTGCGCAGACGTGAATTGAAGTCAGTCATGCGCTCCTCGAATTCAGGCGCAAAGCAATTCGGATCGACAGCGATGAATACTTGGCCCAGATCAGCTGCAGAATTGGCGCCCGCATGCGTCCACTTCCGCACCTGGGTGGAGTACTTGGCGCCAGCCATTACCCCGGAGAGAATATCCACCATGGCACCCAGTCCATAGCCCTTGTAGCCGGAGGTTAGCTCAGAGCCGCCCAGAGGCATAAGGCAGCCGGTGGCAAAGCCCAACTTGGCATCATTGGTCACATTACCGTTCGGATCCTGAGCCCAGCCATCGGGCAATGGGGCGCCTTTGCGATTCTGTATCTCGATCTTGCCCACAGCCACCGCCGTAGTGGCCATGTCCAGCAGGAATTGATCCGAATTGCTGGCGGGTGCGCCCAACGAGAGCGGATTGGTGCCCAGAGCTGCCTCCTTGGCGCCCGTGGGTGCCATCAGGGGTGAAGTGTTCGTCATGGACATGCCGACCAGGCCCTGTTTCATTGCCCTCATTGCATACCAGCCAGCCATGCCATAATGATTCGATCCCTTGGCACAGACCCAGCCAACGCCAACAGTCTTCGCCTTCTTGATGGCCAGATCCATGCAATAGTTGCCAACAACAGCGCCCAACCCGTTGCAACCATCCACCCAGGCTGTGGCAGGGGTCTCCTTAAGCACTTGTGGTTCGGCGGCGCCATTCGTTGAATTGATGGCCAGATCATTGATGTACATCTCAAGACGATTCATGCCATGACTGAAATGTCCACGATAATCGGCAGCCACCAACAGATCGGCCTGAGCACGTGCATTCTCCTCGGGCACCTTGACGGCCATGAAGCAATCGATCATAAAGCGACGCGACTCATCGACGGCCACCAGTTGTTGAGAGGAACACGACGACATGTTTCGCGTTGAAATGGTAAATGCTTTAAAAATAAAAAGTAATAAAAGAATTAGATGCTCTTCAAAGCGTGTTGCTTTCAGCTACGCGACAAATATGCGACTGCTTTTTTTGCTTTGGGCCTGGAAGTGCCTAAGTGACAAGGGCCCCTTTTTGCCGTCTAATTAATCGCACAAATTCTCAGACGCCAACTGATCTCACACTGAGAACCCCTCCCCAATCCAGTTAGGAACCGCAAACAAAGAGATGAGCGATAATCGAATATTTGTGGGTTTTTGTTTTTGGCAACGCTCGAAACTGCTCATATCATAAATGCCGCACAGATAGAGCGAGCGAGAGAGTGAGATAGTGAGAGAGACAGAAAGAGAGAGAGAGAGAGATAACTCACGGGAGAATGAGAGCGAGTGCTTACCAACACTTATCAGCAGCAGCAGGCAGTCGTTTAGTATACCTCGATTTAGATAGACGCTGATGTTGATATGGAACTAGAACTAGAACTCTCTGGCTGGCAGTAAACATTTTATGCTCTTCTCAGCAGACAAATTAAATATTTATAATCTAGATTGTTTTGTTTGTTTATTTGAAATGTATTCAACTAACTAACTGATGCATATACAATTCAACAGGTTGCATAACTAAGCTCAATTAAATCCATATACTTGTATATATATAGATATAACTGGCTACATTTTATATATCGTTAAAGAGTGTATTCGCTCTTCGAGTTGCCTTTATTTTTATAGCTATCTGTTCGAAGGGGGCTCGCAGACAGTTCAAACACATAGATAGATATACCGAAAATTATTATTCATGCGGCTGAATACGTGTTTATTTGTAGCTCACTTCCAGTTTGTCGACGTGTATGTGTGTGTGTGTGTGTGTGTGGGACGAGCGCTTGTTGTTTAATGACCTTGAACTTCAATTGATCCATTTGAATGGCAGCAATACACCCAAGTATTTTTAGCTTAGCTTGTGGATAAATTACTTATGCGGAACCAGCTGGTTTGCATTAGCGCCTGTTCCCCGATTAATTACGGAAATGTTTACCAAGCAGCGTTTACCTGTTACATATGTTATTTACAGCTATTTACAAGACACACCCACCCACCCACACACACACACACACACACAAACATTTGACACCACGCAAAGTTTGATCGATGACCTATACAAACTAATACTAAATTGCGTTGATTGCCTTACAAACCCAATCTTATCAGTCTAAATTTCTGCTTCGCCATAATATCGTTTTTTTTATGGTGTTTTTCAACACCAGCCCCTCTATTAATTTTGATGATTTAAGAACTTATCAATTTTGCACTGCAGCGTAATGTTTCAATAAAGCCTAGACAAAAAGTCTATTTATATATGTACTTATAGCTGTGTATATTTGTCAGCGCCTGTTTCGATTTGTATACAAAATTGATTGGAAGCAAAACGGGTTGTGTTTAGCATATTGAACAAGTGTCGGAATATTTAATGCGCTTTCAATTAGGCTATCAAAATGTCATTAGTCATGCTCGATGAATGAAACTGAATACAAGCCACAACGACGACAAAGGAAAACAAAACATTTAATTGAGGGAGTTCTTAATTAATTGCAGCATTAAGCTAGTTGCCAAACGAGAACAAAAGAATACATCGATTCAGTTTTGACCAAGTTGTTCCAGTGGAAAATTTGGCATCGAGTGCCAGGGAACTTTTTCTATAGAATGTTGACATGATGAATTCCGTATGGAAGAGTTTCTAAATCTGAGTACATTGTTAATCTAATGGCCAAACTTTGACCATAATCGTCATGTTTTTCAAAAGAAATAACATACTAAAAAACACATTTGACCTGTACGCCCTTGCTGGTGATTAAACATATTAAGAACTAAGTGAATTTGTTATATTTATTCACCACAAATTCTTGTTAAAGCTTATCGCAAAATGTTTTTACGCTAAAGACCAAAACATTGTTTAATTAAGCGATTGTTCGCCCCTTTTCTATTTATCAATAAATGAATGTCCAAACAGTTGCTGGTCGCTGCTCTGTGTGTGAGCAGAAGACATGTGTTTTAAATAAATCTATATTTTTGTGTATATATGCAAAATTTTTATTTTGTTCGTTTTGTGTGGGTGGCATTCGACGTAGTTCATAATACGTAAGATTCGCGTCTGTACTACTACGGAAACTAAAGGTGACAGCATTCAAAATAATGGACAGGGTTGTCAGCCAACTGTCAAATGGCGTGAAGAGTGGGAAACTAGAGATAGGCAAATTAATCATAACGCACAGATAATAAATAATAAACAATTGCACGCGTAATTAGCATAATAAAGCATCAACTTACCGCCAATATTTGCATTGGTTTTTGGAGCTGTTGTTGTTGCTGCCGCTGTTGCTGTTGCAGCTGCGCAGTGACGCCCACATTGCTGTTGTTGTTGTAATTGTTGGCGCCTTTGAAGTGTTTGAATAAACCGCCAATTGCCGTTGACGTAGGCGTTGGCAGCGATCGCACGACGCGAGCAGCACAATGTCAGCGATGTCATTGCAGCAAATATGGCAAAAGCGTTCTACAAAATGCCACAACAAATACTATACACAAATAATACAATAACAAAACTCAATACACAATACACAAATATACAAACAAAACCCAAAAACAGAGAAACAACTTGAAGCTACGTAAGAAGAACACACTCGTAAGACAATAACAAGAACAAGAACAACAAACACAACAACAACTTAAAAGCAACAGCTACGTAACGTACGAAAACGGCAAAAGGGGCAGCAAATAATCAAACCAAAACAGCTGACGCTTCGACGTCGACGTCGTTGTCTCTGCCGCTGTTGCTTTCAAGTTTGTTTTTTGCCTTTTTGTCTGACACTTTTTAGTTAACGATTCAGCCGTGTGTGTTTCAGAACGTTTTAACTGTTGTTAAGCGCTCTTCAAATAGTAATTCGATATCTATTCGTATTTTTCGCTTGTTTGGGAGATTTAGTGTGCGCTTAATAATTGCCCAACAAAAGAAAAATACGACAAATGTTTGCAGCGCGCCGGCTAGCGCAACATCTAACTAAACAAATACAATGTAAAGTATACTAATTAACACCAATACACATACAAATTTATTATTAACGCAATCTCTGCACGCAATCAAACTATTTATGTAATTTGCAACACTAACAACAACAACAGCGAATTTTACGACTACAACAAATCAAAGGCACAATGCGTATAGTTTATATATATAAATTTGGTTCTTTTTTGTGCCTCTCGTGTTCGTTGTGTGCCGTCGGAGCGCCAAATTAAACTGCCATGAACTGAGTTGGAGACGTTGATGTCGACGACTATTCTGCTATCGCTTTTCCACAAGGTGCTCCAAGCGACTGCGACAACGAATGCGTCGACGATGACGATTCGTCTCGATGGATGAAAAGTGAAATTTAAATTATAAACAATTGCTCGCGCCATGCGTAGAAATGCGTAGAAGCAGACCCACAATATAGAGAGAGAGAAAGATGTAGTAGATTGAAGAGGGGAGGGGGAGGGGAATTGCGCTCGCATATAATTAAATTAAAGTGACCTTGGCCAATGCAAGTTGCTTGCACACTTTCTAAAAGACTGCTCATAAATGCTAATTTGCAAAAAAAAAAAACCACATGCACTTTAGTAAAGTTTGTGTGGTTAGATGCGCATTTTATTGTTAGCGATGCAAGCGTTCAATAAACAAATATTTATTGTTTATATTAGGCAGGTTCAGTGTTGTATAGCGGCATCCTTAGCCGAGACACGCACCAGTCGCTTACTATTTTTGGCGCCAATGACGAACTTAAAAAAAAAGCTTATGCGTCATTGTTGTTGTTGCTGTTGCTAATACGGTATTCTCTTACTAACCGCTTAATATGGTAATTTGTATGCGGTGTGTGTTTATATATATACATGTGTGTGTGTATGTGTGTTTGTGTATGTTAATATTCGATTTCACCGGCTATGTGCACAAATAATTATAATTTAAGTCACATTAATTTTGAACAACAAGTATGTGTGTTTTTAATTGCTGCTCGCTTGACTGCCCCTATTTAGAACATGCCACTGATTACCGTTGACTGTTGACGAGAGACGCCTACACACACATACCTAAACACACTTATAGTCAGTAAGTCAGTCAGGTGCCTCTATCAATATGGTTATCGGCTGAAGCAGCTTTGGTTTTATGGGGCATAGATTTCGAAATCTAGTAACAAGAGTCTCATTTTTGGGCAAAATAAAAGTTCTCCTCTTGTGCCTGGGGCAAAACAACAATAAATTAATAGCAAATTCTAACAAAAAACAAAAAATAAAATAAGAAAAACAAACAAACAAATAGACAAACAGACGATAACAAGTAAACAGAAAATACAAGCACACAAATACAAATATACAGAGTATAATCATATGTCATCATCATCAGCAGCAGCATGATGGCATATTATAGAACAACAACAACACTGCTGAGTCAGAGTTGTCATCCAAAAGCCGCAATTTGGGGCCTTTGATGACTTGGGTCTGGGCTTTTGGGCTTTTCAAGAGCTGCTTTCACAAGTGGCACGCTCAGCGGCGCATTCCATTCAACTGCAGAACGCTGCTGGCGACAGTCGAACGGTCGTCGAACAGTCGTCGAGCCTGTGTTAATTGATAAATAATCAACTCGAAAATTATATATATATATATATTTATACACATATAAGCACAACAAAACAAGGTACTAACTGTGGTGTGTGTGTTTTTGTTATTTGGTGTCAATTATAAACTTATCGAAAAACGTGAGACGCTGAAAATTTTTCGCTAATTGCTTTAATATACTTTTTGGTTTTGGTTCTTCTTCAACAAACAAAACAAACAGCCAAAAATACAACAAAAAAGAAAAAAGAATAAAAAAAACTGAAAAATAGTGTTCGCTTTGGCTTCGTGAAAGTTTCCGCAGTGCGTGCAACGGGTAAGTTTTTGCTTTTTGGCATTGGCAACGTTTTCAACCCAGAAATAATCACACTTAATTGCAGTCAAAACAACAATTACAATTACCACAAAACAAACAAAACCAAACAACAGAAAAATAATGGCCAACACGAACGTGAAAATCGTTGAGGCGAAACTCGATCTGTTCCAAGCACCACAGAGCTATGCTTTGGCGCACGCCGTGGAGTCATCCTTCAGTGCCATCCGCGGCACACTCGCCTGGCAGTTCGGCCTAATCTTTGGCGATGTCGATGAGCTGCGCACCCGCCGCGTGACCAGCGGCAATTGTGTCGTCCTGGAGCACAATTCCCGATTCGTTTACCATCTGGTGACCAAGTCAAATCTGTATGCGACCTCAACATACGATGATGTTCAGGCGGCGTTGATTTGCATGCGGGAGCATATGGTGAGCATATCATTTAAAAGCAATTATCTTAAATCAGTAAGAGACAAGCGGAGTGACAAGGGACGAGAAGCAGAAAGAGTCTTGCTGAGTTTAGTCTAAATTCAGATATGACGCGATTTGAATTTTGCAATTAGGTTTTTCATAAAAGTTTAATTTAAATAAATTAAATATATTTGCTTTATTAATTTATTTATCTTTTAAATATTTACATATTGTCAGCAAATTGTAAACTTAGAGTGAGTTTCAATATTTACCTATATCACATAAGCGACAATTATTATATTTACCAGTCAAATATTTATCTCAAGGCTAATTTATTTGAAATTTCAATACAGAAGCTTAATCGATATTTACATGTATTTCATAAGCAGCAACTATTACGTATATTTTATTTATTTATTTTTTAAATATGTCAATTGTAGACAATTTCCAATAATTCTTCGTTAATTTACAGTTCATTTGTTGGCACAATAAATCACTTATGTACTTTGTACTTATATATAGCGCAATCATGAAATCACCAAAGTGGCGATGCCCCGAATCTGTTGTGGCAACGATGGCCTCGATTGGAAGCAAGTGAAGCGCATTCTACAGCAGATCTTTGCCCATGGCGAATACCCCATCGAGATACTAGTTTGTGAGCATGACGACATAAGCAGCGAGGTGAGTAGTAATTGCTTCAAATCTACTCAACGAGTGGCGACTTAGTGTTAATCCCCCATTTGCAGTTGGCTGCGCCCAAGTGTCAAATTACCGAGGCGAAGGGCAATCTGTTTAGCGCACCGGAAAACTTTGCACTGGTGCATTCGGTTAGTGCTGACTTTGCCATGTGTGCCGGTATCAATTTGCAGTTTCGTTGCAAATTTGGACATGTGGATGATCTGAAGAAGCAGCAGCGGCACACTGGCAATGTGGCTGTGCTGGAGCAGGGCGGTCGCTACATCTACAATCTGGTGACCAAGGAGCGGGCACACGAGAAATGCACCTATACAGCTCTCTATTACGCTCTGCTAGCCATGCGAGAACATATGGTGAACTTGGTTTCCGCTTGTTATCCATCCGGATTTGTCATTTATCATCATGTTTTTTTTTTTTAGCGTGAACACAATGTGAGCAAATTGGCGATTCCACGCCTGGGCTGTGGCATCGATCGTTTGGATTGGTACCGAGTGCGCAGTCTGCTGGATCTGGTCTTCGTCAGCGATAGCGTTGATATCATTGCCTTCTTCTACGAACCGCCCTGCATGGAGCAGGATACCATAAAGGTCATGTGCCCCACCTGTCATCACATGAAGCTCATGCATTTGCCGCGCAGCGTCAGCTCATCGCGACAATCGCTTCACAGAGAGAAGACCCCATTCTAAGTGTGGGAAGGGGGAAGCAGTATCGAATTTTTGTATATATTAATATATATATATATTTATATAATTTACTTATGCTAATTTATGACACTCAAACTGGTTTGCATGGTTTTATTTGTATTCGAACAAAGCACAAAATGCACCGTTAAAAATATAGTTTATAGGCGTTGGGTTAGAGAGCACCAGACAAATACATAAATATATATGTATTTATTTATGGTTATTTATATTATACATTGTTATACAAAATCAAATAAAAAGACACCGGCAAATGCCTGAAATGAATCGAAAATGTACAAATTTAAGAATTCATTGTAAAATCGAATAAATACACAAAAAACGAAGATTAAAAGACTTCATATTTGGCATATGCACCTATTTGAAAAATAAATAAATTATTTATTTATGAAACTTCTGATGTTAGTAAGCTAAGCGTGTTAAGTCATTTCGAAGGATATCTACTAGTCGGTACACTCTCAACAAGCTTGCTTACTTTGGATACATATTTATCTCAAAATATATTCAATCATTTCGAATTCTGTACTCAAACATAAATGTTTTCGCCGGCAGTTTCCGATGTGCGTCTCGCCTTTCAACGGGCTTTCGTTAACGGCATGACTGGCTATCAAGTAAATGAAGTCAATGGCGATCTCTTCTCGGCGCCGAAGACCCATTCGCTGGCGCATTGTGTTGGCGCCGATATGGTCATGGGCGCTGGCATAGCCGTTAAGTTTAAGGAGATCTATGGCAAGGTGGACGAGCTGCTGGCCCAGAAGGCACGCGCCGGTGAAGTAGCTGTGCTGAAGGATGGGGATCGCTATATCTACTATCTGGTGACTAAGTCGCAGAGCTGGGCCAAGCCCACATACGAATCGATGCAGACATCGTTGGAGAAGATGCGTGAACATATGGTAAGTGTTCAACTAATCTAAAATTTATACTAGTTTTTAATTAATCTTGGATCTTAATTTTACTGTAGCTCAAGAATGATATACAAAAGTTGGCTATACCACGCATAGGATGTGGCATCGATGGACTGGAATGGAATTTTGTACGCTTTTTGTTGCAAGAAGTCTTTGGCCGCGACGATGTGGAGATAACCGTTTACAACTTTGAGCCACCACCGCCGGAGTAAATGTGTTCCTCCTTTATATACTGTTAGTTATTTATTTGGTGTTGCCTGCTACATAATTAAATACGAGTAATTCAACATCATCTGCTGCAAATATCTCGATGAGCATATCTTTCACTTTGGACCAGTTGAGGCCATCCAAACCGCAACCGATGCGAGGCAGCGCCAATTTCTGCACATTGTGTTTGAGCTGAAGGGGAAATATTAAATAATGGCAATTTATTATAGTTATTCATGGGTTAATCTCCACTTGCTTACCATATGCTCCTTCATGGCAGTCAGGGAGCTGTGGAGCAGCTGATAGGTGGGTTTACCCCAGCTGCTCTGCTTGGTGATTAGATAGTAAATGTAGCGTTGTTGACGCTGCAATATGGCAACGCCACCGGGTTGCACGTTTTGTTGTTGCAAGTCGGCAAGCCCTCCAAATTTATTACTGTAATATGCACAAATTCCGTTAGCGGAGAAAGGAAAATTTAACTAACAAGAAACTCACCGAAATTTGACGGCAATTCCTTTACCCATTCGCAAATCGGCGGCCACACAATGACACAGTGAATACTCGGGTCCAGCTGCAAATAAGTCAATATTGACTTCACTTATTTTAAACATTGTCACTTTTTTAAAAAACATATGAAACAAAATTTGCCTGAACACCCTTTCCAATATTGCCGCTCAAACGCACAAAACGCAGACAAGCGAATGTCAAAAACTGTTGCGCAGACACGACAGCTGATTGCTTTGGTGTTGTACAATGAGCAAGTGTCGGCGGTGTTGGCAAAAGCTGTGAACTGCTACTTTTAAATAGCATTGTGTGTAAATGTTAAAGCACATTTACAGCACAAATGCAGTACAATTGGCAACTATTTTATCGAATAATAACACAATTATAAAAATTGAATGACGATTTTCATTAATTACACGCGTTGGGACTTTGTAACTGCTAATTTGATAACCTTATCAGTCGCGCCGAGATACCGAAAAATACCCGTGTCTGATTACCAAATTTCTAGTTTTGTTTTCGATTATGTTATGATTATTATGATTGCTGGCTGCTTTCAATGAGTTTTATTTTCAATTTTATTGCATCCTTTGTACGCAAAATGCTGGAGCTACTGCAAATTGGAGGCAAGTTGACGAACACACTCAGCATTTACGTGAAAACAAACACGGGTCGCACACTGTCCGTCAACTTGGAGCCGCAGTGGGACATCAAAAACGTTAAGGAGCTGGTGGCGCCACAACTAGGACTGCACCCCGATGAAGTGAAGATCATATTTGCTGGGAAGGAGCTAAGCAATGCAACCACCATTGAGGTAAGTGCGAAATTCACTTTAATTATGCACAATTCCAATAATGCGTCTCAGTAGCAATGTGATCTTGGCCAGCAAAGTGTGCTGCACGCAATTCGCTTGCGTCCCGCTGAGCGGGAGCGGAAGGCCAGCACTTTGCTGGAGGAGGAGTCACCCCCGGAAGAGCCGTCCAAGCCGCTGAACGAAACTCTGCTCGACTTGCAGCTAGAGAGCGAGGAGCGTCTGAATATCACCGCAGAGGGTGGGTGAGCCACATTTGGCTACGGCTGGAGCGAGTTATTACATAACATTCATTGCTTCTCTGCAGAGCGAGTGCGTGCCAAGGCGCATTTCTTTGTACATTGCGGCCAGTGCCAGAAACTGTGCCGAGGCAAACTCCGGGTGAGATGTGCCCTCTGCAAGGGTGGCGCTTTCACCGTACATCGTGATCCCGAGTGCTGGGACGATGTGCTCAGAGAGCGACGTATTCGCGGCCATTGCGAGAGTCTCGAAATTGCCTGTGTGGACAACGAGGCGGGAGATCCGCCCTTCGCTGAGTTCTATTTCAAGTGCGCCGAGCATGTCTCGGGTGGCGAAAAAGACTTTGCGGCTCCCTTGAATCTAATCAAGAACAATATCAAAGATGTGCCCTGCTTGGCCTGCACAGATGTCAGGTGAGCGTGCCTTGTTCTGCATTTGAATCTGCAGCAAGTTTATCTCTGCGTTATATTTTGTAGCGAAACAGTTTTGGTTTTTCCGTGCGCCTCGCAGCACGTCACCTGCATCGATTGCTTCCGCGACTATTGTCGCTCGCGACTCGGCGAACGCCAGTTTATGCCGCATCCGGACTTTGGCTATACGCTGCCCTGTCCGGCGGGCTGTGAGCATTCCTTCATCGAGGAGATCCATCACTTTAAGCTGCTGTCACGCGAGGAATATGAACGCTATCAGCGCTTTGCCACCGAGGAGTTTGTGCTGCAGGCGGGTGGCGTGCTCTGCCCGCAGCCGGGCTGTGGCATGGGCCTGCTCGTCGAGCCCGATTGCCGCAAGGTGACCTGCCAGGGCGGCTGTGGCTATGTCTTCTGTCGCAACTGTTTGCAGGGCTATCACATTGGCGAATGTTTGCCCGAGGGCGACACGGCTAGCGCCCAAAATTCCTGTGAATACAGCGTGGATCCCAATGTAAGTGTGTCATCTTTACCAAAAAGTGATGATTGCATCTAGAATCAATACATTATTTGTTTGGACAGCGCGCTGCGGAGGCTCGCTGGGAAGAGGCCAGCAATGTGACAATCAAAGTCAGCACCAAACCTTGCCCCAAATGTCGCACACCAACGGAACGTGATGGTAAGTTGTAACCATCAAGTTATCTGTCAGCAATTATCAATCGTTTCACTCTCACTCCTTTCCAGGTGGCTGCATGCACATGGTCTGCACACGTGCCGGCTGCGGCTTTGAGTGGTGTTGGGTCTGCCAAACGGAATGGACGCGGGATTGCATGGGCGCCCATTGGTTTGGCTGAGCATCACTACGTAATTGACATAAGTGAAGAATCAGAAGCTTTACTCATATTTTATGTTTGTTTATTTGACTATTCTGTTATCGTGTTAAAGACTGTTGAAGACTATGTATAAGCTCTAAGCAGACAATATTGTATTGTGGAAGAGAGTCCAACTTGCTTCCATTGTTGTGGGAAATGAATAAAATGCTAATTACAAATCAGCGCTTATTGTATATAGAGTTCTCTATGAGTCGATTCACCTAAGATTTACTAGATATATTACACCCTGTAGACCGTGTAATGAATCAATAACAAAAACACCCTTGCTTTGCCAATGCATTTAATGGGGTATTTCACTTATTCCGCATATTCACCACCCGTTCTTAACTCCTTATCCTACCCCACTGTATTATCGCATTGCGTGCGCACGCTTTGTTTACGTTTTCTTTTCTTTTTCTTTCTTCTTTTTGGAGGATTTTCGGTTTACTGCTAAAAACAGCAAAACACACAACACGTGCAGCTGGCGGGAGAGAGAAATAGAGAGCGCGAGAGAGAGACAATTACTGAGCAGCAGTGGACGCTCTCTCCCAGATTCAATCAATAATAATGGTGCGTATTGAGTGTGTGTGTGTGTGTATGTGTGTGTGTGTGTATGTGTGTGTGTATGTGTGTGTGTGTATGTGTGTGTGTGTGTGTGTATGTGTCTGTTTATTTTTGCGGCATTAATATGCTTGACAGTATTGTTATTGCAGGGTTTTCCATTTGCAGAGCTCCGGTAAATGAGGCCCCCTGATGTATGCTATACTTTATTTGGTATCTGGTATCTGATATCTGGTATCTGTTATCCGAAGACATCAATAAAGCAGGAGCATACATACCCATTTACCCATTGATAAGCAGTGAGCAACACTGAAGCACAGCAGGGAAACCCCGCCAGACAATTGGCCATGCTGCGCACTCGCTCTCTCTCTCTCTTTTGCGCGCCTCCTGTTCTTGTTGTTTTGACCCGCTCTGTTTTTGTTTGGTTTCTGTTTTGTGCTCTAATTCGTAAGCAAAGTAAGTAAGAATTTACAAATGACATTTGTCTGCGAGAGAGCTTCGCCCCATTGCAATTGCCAAATTTGCGCTCTCGCACTCGCCCGCTCGCTCTCTCTCTCTCTCTCTCCTTCTCTATCTTCCCCTTGTCTCGGTCGTCTCCTTGGCGAAACCAAGCGAAAGCTCGCTCTGAGCAGCGCGTGTGTGGGCAGGCTGCCCATCAAATCGGGTCACATAGTTTGCGCTGGGTTGCCAGTGCAGCACAGCGCCCGTTGTACCGTTGCTTTTTTTGCTGTTGCTTTTGTTGTTGTTGTTACTTTAGCCCCTGTCGCTGCTGTTCGCTGCTTTTTCGCCGCCGTCTTTTGCCAGCTTTTCTTCATTACTTTTTTTTTGAAGGGGGGTACCGCTGAGGCTGCTGCCTGTGTATAAATGGAAGCGCGCCAGCCGTATCGCATTTCAGTCTACGTTTGACTTTGGCGCGAGTCGCACACGCAACGTATACGTAACGCAGTTACATCCCAAGGGTTAATCAGTCGACGCTGCCACCGCCACTTGGCAATGTCCGTGTGTGTGTGTGCCCGTGTGCGTCTCTGTGTGTGTATATGTGTGTATGAATGCCTCAGCGAGTTCTGATCGTTTGCCGCTCTTCGATTTTTTTGCGCGAGAGCAAGATAACGCTTGAGTGTGTGTGTGTGTGTTAGTGAGTGTGTGTGTGTGAGTATTCACAATGTATTTTGAATTCGTGCGCAACACTTGAAACATAACGGTATTTTGAATTGAGCAAAATTTACAATTGAATGCAACTGAATTGAAAGCATATTTCACACAAATTACAAACTATGCAGAAATTATTAAGTGCAAACGCAATTTAAATGGAATTTTAAGTAAGTAGAAATTAAGATTTGAGTTAGCGTTTTCCATAACATTGTATTTAAAAAGGGGAATATCTTATTTCACTCGCAATACCTGCAAGCTCTGCCTCATTTTTAATCGCCCGCGCTGCGAGGCTTACGCTCTCCCACGCACTTGCCCCAATTATTCAGAAGCATCAACAACAACAGCTCACAATTAAAATTGCAATTACAAATAGCAAAAAGATGAAGGGGAAGGGGAAGAAATACATTCGGGCACTGTAAATATTTGCAGCTGAAGTGCGCTTACATTTTGTGACGTACAGCGACGACGTCAACGATAATGATTACACACACACACATGCATATATGTACTTAGTTGTACTTGTGTGTGTGTCTGGGTAAGGAAACTGTTAAAAAGTAGAGAGCATAGCAAAGAATTAATGAAGCTGTACTGAGAAGCAGCAGCAGCAGAAGCAGAAGCAGAAGCAGCAGCAGCAGCAGCCAAAGCCCAAGCTATAAGTTGGCTCGAGTCTCGCGTCGAATCGAGTCGAGTTGAGTCGAGTCGGCGTGGCTGCTGTGTGTTTTTATTGATTTATATGCGCTGGATGGAACTGGGCGGCTGTTGCTGTCCCAAAACAGTACACACACACTTACACAAAGACACCCACAAACACATACAGACAAAAAGGCAGCATCTCTCTCATGCCCCACAAGTTCCGTTTCCTGCGGTTTACTTGCAACGCATGAGCATAGTAAAGACAAAGAGCGATGAAGGGGGGACAGAGAGAGAAAGAGACAACGAGAGAGAGAGACTGAGAGAGAGAGGGAGGGAGGCAGTGGCAGTGGCAATAGCAGCCTGAGCTCAATTGCAGTTTGTGCTCTTGAGGCTCATTTCAGTTTACAGTTCACATTTTTGCGCCTTGCACACACACTCAACATAACCCCTTTCAATTGCGTTCTCTCTTTCTCTCTCTCTCTCTCTCTATCTCTCTCCTCTCTGCCGGCGGAGCACTCTCTTTTGCAGGCTGCTCTTTGCTCTTTGCGCTGAGCGAGTGTTTACATTTACATTGATTATGTTATACAGCTGCTAATAGAGTTGCCATTATGTCCCTTCCCTTCCCCTTCCCCCCTTGTACTGCTCTTGCTGGGTTATTTGCTAATTTGGTGCTGGACAACATCATCATCCAAGAGAAAACCTCATCATGAGCGTCTACAGCGACCAATCAATAAAATTGGGCGCTCCTCAAATTATTAAGGGTCTTCCATAGTGATGTTGTGCTTTGTTTGGTTCCCACTCAATTTGCAAAAACAACAACACCAAAAACAAAAAAATAGAATATAATCAGCAATTTTTATTAATCAATAAACGGGGCACAAACACACACATACACAGCTAACTCCCACTCACATGCATTGCTGCTGCTGCTCCTGGTGCTCTTGGTTGCCACTTGGAATGTGTGCACACTTTTGTGGCTTATTAACGGCTTGCGTGTGGCCAAAATGCTTGTGGCTATAATGCATTCATCTCGCTGCATGTGTGTGCGAGTGTGTGTGTGTGTGTGTTAGGTTGAGTGGCTTGTTGTTGTTCTGCTTCTTCGTGTTGCTCGAGAGTGCAAGCCAAACATCATCATTTGCGCAGCTGCTTATCCATCATCAATCAGGCTGGAGACCACACTCCACCACACGTGCACCAATTTTGCACACAAATGCAAGCACATTTGAACACAATAACCTTTGGTCAGTTTGCTCTGCTCTGGCAAATACAGCTTTACTATAACTCAGCCATAAGTCAAGCTATTTCTCATAATTTAATTTATAACAAATATATTTTTAATTAACACAAAATTTCCAGCTTCAAACAAAATGAGGGTAAAAAGCAATTGCATACTTTGAGGCGCGTGGAAAATTGTGCAAATATTTGAAGTGTATTTCGCAATGCTAATTCTGAGAATAATACAATAATCTTTGAGCATTCTAACAATTTTATATTTATGTTTATTTAATTAGTATGGTAATTAGCCATAATCTTTGCCATTTGCCTTAAAGGTATTTCGCATTATTTAAATAACAAATTATATATTTTTAATTAACAAAATTGATTATCACAATTCACGCAAGAAGGTAAAAATTTAATTGCCTACTTTGAGGCAAATTTGTTTGAACGCTTCAGAGGCGAATAATATTGGGCAATTAAATGATTAATTCTGAGCTGTTGCAAATGACAATTCTATGTTCTACGTTGTCCTGCGGTTTTAGTGAGCATTAAATGTTATTGATCGCAAATGATTATATTATTTAGTAGCATGCAATTCAATATTCCGGCATATATTGCCACAAACTCAAAGACTTGCCAACACATGCTGCCTTTCATATTAAAGGACTCTCTGTGCACTTGCAGGATTAAGTCGCGCAATAACTGCAAGTGCAGTTACCTGAAAGGGATTTAAAAGAAAAGCAACAAAAAACAAGAAACAAGAAAATCAATAATACATGTAACAGAATATCCTGGCCATTGACTAAAAAGAAAACGAGGCGAAGGCGTCGCAATATGGCCGCTACAACAACAACGGCAGCAGCAACAACAATAGCAAATAGGACGGGGCAGTCAGCTTGGAAATTGTTATTGCAATTATTGCTGCACGAGTAAAGTTGCTACTGGAGAAAATTGCACCCGCTGATTAAGCTCCAACCATGTCGGACAGATACGCCGCTGCCAGCTACTACGAGCAACTGCATCCGGCTCAGGCACAGGCGCAGGCCGCCATCTCGCACTATGCAGCGGCGCCCAGTTATCGCAGCAGCAGCGCCTATAATCCCTATGGCTATGGCTATGCCGGCGGCGCCGCAGCTAGCGCCTATATGCCCAACTATTATCGCTATGCGCCGTATGCCTCGCCACATTACAGCCAGCCGCCGGCGCATCATCTGCAACATCCGCATCAGCATCAGCATCAGCAGTTGGCGGGTGGCATGTTCACGCCAGCTGGCCAGCAGCTGATACCCTCCAGTGTGCTTCACTATCCGCCGCGTCAGCATACGCAACAGCATCCGCATCCACATTCACATCCGCATTCGCATCCGCATCCGCATCTTGCGTACCAGCAACAGCCGAGCAGCAGCATCAGCTATGAGCAGCCAGCGCCTGCGCTCTACAGTGCTTCCTCCTATGGCCAATCGCGTGGCTTTGCCGCTTATCAAGCGACGCCGCACATGCCACATTATGCGCCGCCCGGACGCTCCACGACACCGGCCCCAAATCGCACAGTGATGCCGCCAAATTATCTCGAACCGTTGCGCAACTATGCGGAACAGCATCAGCATCAGTTAACGCTATCGATGCCAAAGCCGGAGGAGACGCTGCCCGCTGATCAACAGATCATCAAGCAGGAGCACGAATCGGAGGCGGCGGCATCGCCAACGGCACAGCGATTGACCACATCGCCGCCAATGATCAGTGCCACGGGCACCGACAGTGGCATCAGCAATTGCAGCACTCGCGCCAGAAGCGACAGCAGTCAAAGTACGCCAGTCTACAGTGGCGAATATCCGGTGAATATGTCTGTGGAGTCGGCGTCATGTGTCTCCTATCACTGTCCAGCCGATGGCAGGGATTACGAGGAGGAGCAGCAGCAACAGCAGCAGCAACAACAGCAGCAACAACAACAGCAGCAGCAACAACAGCAGCAACAACAGCAGCAGCAGCAACATCAGCAACCAGAAGTGGAGGAGAATACGACAACAGCTGTTGGCTCAGCGCTCGATATTCCCGGTAAGTTGTTAGCATTTGCATTACGCTCTATTTAATTTACAATTATGCAAGGAGAGGGGCTGGAGTCAATGGTTGCTAAATTTATGCAAACATATGTCAGACTAGATTATGTAACACAAGTATTAATGCCGCCATGGCAGCAGTAGGAGCAGCATCTATCTTTGGCACTGTGGAACGACGAAGGTGGCAAAGTGTTAACTTTAGCAGAAATTCATTACAAGTTAACAGAGTCAGCAACAGCTTAAATAACAGCATAACATAGGAGTAACATTAACACAATAAAATGGGAATTAACTGCAAATAAAACCTTAACATAAGTTAACGAGTACATTAAAGAGTGAGCAACAGCTTTCATAACAGTATAAAACTATCATAACAGCTACAGTACAAACTGAGGATCAATTTTGACATATTCTGCAAAGTATGCGTTGCCTTTAGGAGAAATTTAATGTAAGTTAACAGTGAACAGTAAAGAGGCAGCAAAAGCTAACATAACATAGTAGAAGAATGCGGATCAATTTAACAGTTTCTGCAAAGTAGGCATAATTATTACAGATCCTGTTAATTTCAGTAGAATTCCATAAGGATTAAATTTCAAAAGAGCTCGAACAAGGTGTACAAGGCAATTAATTATAATCAGAAATGCATGTTAAATAACAGTTTTAATTAGATACATCAAATATTTATAGAAATGGGTGGCTTTCATCACATTTACTTGAATTCTATATACAAACTTAATTAAGCATTCCACAGTGCCAAAGTTGTTGAAGCTAGCGTGATTTTGAATGCAAATGAATGCAAAGACTGTCCATTTGAGTCGCCAGCAATGCCGCCGACAGCTTCGTCACCGTCCTGTCTGTCAGTCTGTCTGCCTGCCTATCTGTCTGTCGCCCGTCCGTCTGTTTGTCCGCCGCCTGTCAGTGGCAAGTTGAGCTATATTTGCGAGACGACAAACGACGGCCAGTTTTGCCACAATCGTCCGCCGTCACTTTTGAGGGGAGTCAGCATTTTGCACACAACACTCAACCAATCAGCGTTTGGTTAACTGCTGAAATGCTTCCGTTTCCTGGCCTGGCCCAACTCAGCACCAGCACCAGCACCAGCGCCGTGACGCGCCTACGTCATGTTGCTTTAAAGGACTTGCAAATTAGCTGTCTATTTAGGCACGCAAACGGCGACTCGAGAGCTGACATGAGATGGAGCTCGAGTTTTGCTTCTTGATGAGTTGCTTTTGATTTGACTTTTGGCAGAGGTGTGCGAGTGAGTGTGTGCAAATCAATAATTTACCTTTTCCGATGGCGTGTCGCAACTCCCACGCAGCACTGGCAAAAAAAGGTGTAAAGTATGTGTGTGTGTACGTGTGTGTGTCCGTATGTGTGTGTGTACGTGTGTGTGTATGTTTTTGTGGCTCCCCAAGCCCCAACATATGACAGCTTTTCTAAATATTCCGTAATGTAAACGAGACTTGTGAGCAATGCCCGTCCTTATCAATGGGCGCTCAACTTACACACACACGCACACACCAACACACACACAAAAGCACACATTTATGGGGGTGTTTAAGTTGAGTGTGTTTGTCTGCGTGGAATGTCATCACAGCCGAGCATGTAAATGAACTTTACAACGCACTGTGGTGGGTTATTGTAGCTGCCTCTGTTTGCCCAGCACATACAGAAGCAGCACAGAGAGGAGACACCCCCTCCCCGCTCCAACCCCCCACCCCCTGAAGCACCCACCAGTGCAACATTTACTGTTGCTGCTGTTCTTGTTGTTGTTGTACGCTTTGAAGAGGTATCCAACATTGACGCAAAAATCAATGTCCGTTATGACAGATAGCCTGAGTTGAGCATATATATATATATATATAAATACAGCTGCCAATGGGCAAGGATCTTTAAGTGATTAAGAATATTTTTTAAAAATTAAATGTATTTAAAAATGTAAAATTACAAAGAATTTCTTTAGCTTAAGTCTAAGGATCTTTCAACTGTATCTCTTCGATTCAGTCAAAGCCCAGTTGACGACATAATCACGATCAATTTTAATGTGTTTTTTGTTAACTGAATCCTTGAGAATTTCACATATTTCACAATTGAAACTATTCGGTTGTAGTTTAAATAATTAATGCTATGACTTTTTCACAGTCAGCAGCAAGCGTTTGAAATTGATTGTAATTGATTTATTTGACGCGAAGAGCATTACAATAACAATACCTTAAATCGAATAACGCATTCGTAGCAGGCCACAACAAAAAAAAGAAAAGAAGAAAAACAAAATAAACATTGCAGGCTCAGTCGCATGCGCCGAAAAGCATGCTATAGTTTTTGATGCTGCTGCTACTCACGCAAAGCTGTGTGAATGTATGTGTGTGTGTGTAACTGTGCAAGTGCTTGCTTAACACGTTCAACAAGTGCATGTTCGAGTTTGGCTCTCTTTGGAACCGCTCTCTCTCTCTATCCAGCTCCCGCTCCCGCTCTCTGTCTCTCGCTGCCGCTCTTAGCTACCCCGAATGCAAAAGCAATAATCAAAATTTTGATAAGCGCGGCGTGCAAAAAAAAAAAAACAAAAAGAAGCAAAGCCAAAACGACAACAACAAAAATTTCGCCTCTCTCGCGCGCTGGTCAACCTGTTCCTGAAGCTGGTCGTGTCTTTTTAACCCTTGATGGCCAGCCAGCACGCATGACAAAATAATTACACAGACGCCTAGCCTGACAATATACCCGACCGACAAATAATGTACGGGCAAAAAAATCTTTATTGATTTTCTTTTAACACACACACCCACACGTTGCCCTGGCCTGGGCGCCTTTTTATTTTTTTTATTTATTTATTTTATTTTTTTTTTTGTTTTTTGCTTGCTAATTTTCCAGATGACATAAGCAAGCCAGCAGCGACGTCGACGTCGACGCCAGCAACACCAACAACGCCTATTGGCAACGATATTGATAAGACAACGACAACGACAACGACAACGTCAGCGTCAACGTTAACCGAGGAGCAGCCGGAAGTCGTGAGGCGGACGGAAACCAATTTGGCGAAGCCCAACAAGGAGACGACGACAACAGCAACGCCACAGGATATTGACGAACAGCAGCAGCCAGCAACTAATCAAATGAATGAAGATGAACTGCATCCTGAACATGGGGTAAGTTTGTCAACACAAAATCAAAAACTAATCAAAACTGCAGCATGCATCAAGGTGTAGGTGTTTTTGGGGGTTGACAGAGCAGCCACAGCCACAGCAGCTACGCACTTGCCCAGACAAATTAGGCCAAAGGAAGAACCCAAAAAAAAAAAAAATAGAACAACTGCCTGATAATGACAGACGCGCAAGGATGCCGGAATACAACAATAACAGGAGTAGGCAAAAAAGAGAAACCCAAAAGCGAAATGCGTTTAGCTCCATCGACCGGCTTTCTAGGAACACAGAGAGACACAGAAAGAGAAAGAGAGAGAGAGGGAGAGTCAAAGAGCAAGAGAGTGCGCATTAGATATGCTTAAGCTTCCACTTTCTCTCTCTCTCTTTCGTTCTCTCTCTGTCTGTCTCTCGCTTGCCGGAAGCCTTTTTACAGGGTGTCGCAGCAAACTGGGCGCCTATTGATTTTTGTGGGCTGCGCGCTGAACTTCAGGCTGCTTTGGTGGGGAGTTGGGAGAGTCCTTAATAGGGCTGCTTGGTCGCTTGGCAACATCGAGCCTGACTGCCTGACTGCTGCTGCTGGTTGGGGCAAGTTTCAAGTGCCTCGTCACTTGAGCATAACAAATTTGTTGTTGTAACAGCCCCCCTGTCGAGTGCTGCAACTGAAAACTAAATCGATTTTTTGTTTGACTTGCAGCAGCAGCAGCAACAGCAACAGCAGCAGTCACCACCTGCAACAATATCGCACAACTGGAGTCCAGCGGAGTCGCGTCAGCCGCGCACCCCGCCAGCGCCACAAAACTCACCCGTGGGTTACGGACTGACTGCGTCAGCAGCGCCACCCACTGTGCCACCTGCGCTGGCGCCATTGCTGCAACAACAGCAACGGCTGCAACAACAACAAAAGCAGCAGCAGCAGCAACCCGTGAGCAACAAACGAAATGCGAATGCCAAAAATCGCAGCAGGAATAATAGCCAAAATCGCAATAACAACAACAGCAGCAGCACCAGCAGCAACAACAGCAACACCAGCAACAGCAACAACAGCAACAACAGTCGCATTATCGAATGCGATCTCATACCGAGCAAGAAATCAAAACGCAAGGCTAGCAAAAAGCAATCCGAAACAGAGCCAGTTGAGGCAATGGAAGCCACGGTGCGGGAGCAAATAAGGGTGAGTTGGATGCTATCCCCATTTAAATACAGCAACAAAAGTGTCAATGTCAACTGAAAATTCTATTTAAAAAAAAGCAGAGCTAAAACTGAATCAATTTCCTACTTTTTTTGGGTTGGCATTGGCGTATCCTAGCAGTTGATGCGGCTTCAAGATTAAATTTAAAAGGAAATACGATTTCATTATTTGCTTTCTACGTTTTTTCTTTAAGCCTCTATTAAATATTTTAATTAATTGAAATCTTAGGCTCATAATTGAATGAGCAGCTTTAGTTTGTTTTCAACTTGATAGCGCAAAAAACTTAACTATTTAAATTCTAACTTTCTTCGTCTACAGGACATAAAGCCTTTGCCTGGCTTTCAGCAGGCCTTTGGCTCCACCGAAATTGGACGCTTCTCGGAGCGTTTTCTGCAAACGCCCGAGAGTCTCGTTGAGCGCCTGGCCGAGGAATATGTAAGCAGCGGCAGCAATGTGGCTGGTGGTGGCTTCTATGATGCCACCACAGCTGGTGGCATGCACAACTACTGGCCGTACGAGGAGCCGCCAAGCTTTCCCAGCTATCAGACAAGCCACCAGCAGCACCAGCAGATGGCGAGGAGTCGAATGCGTGGCCAGGTTTATCCCTACCCAGACTATGGGGCGTATGAGCGTTATGGTTATGCGGCCTACAGTGCGAACCGGTCGCGTTATGCTGAAATACGCTGCAATGGCTATTAGCCAGGTCAACGAGACATACACACAAATATATATGTAGAGTTGTTATTTGTGTGCATGGGTTAAATTATTTACATAGACAGTAGTCGTGTCCCTTGTCGTTTGTCATTTGAAATTCTCTCTGTGTGTGCCTTTTTCGGTCAAAATACGGCAATGCTCGCCAGGTGTTAAGCATATATATATATATATATATATATATTTAGATCGGGCGTTGCTGGCAATGATTGCGTTCAAAATTTATTAAAAACAACAACAACAAAAAACCCCCAGAGTTATATAGAAAACGAAAACCAAACTGGCCAAAATGTAAATTAATCGTAATTTTAAGTAGTTGAATGTTTTAAATCGAAGCGTTTTTAAACAAAAAGAAAAGAAAAAAAGTCAAGCCATACAAAATATACAATTTGTACGCATGTTGAAAACTTTGTCCCACTGTACATACTCGTAGAGCAATGCATTTCGTAAGTACTTTTTGTGTAGAGCAGTAAGTGGTAATTGGTAAGTGTCAGGGTATCGATTCAGTCTACCATAAAACGAAAATGTTGGAACCAAACAGAGACTTCAGCCGAGTCGCAGAATCGTAGCAGAATCCATTTAAAGTAGGCATTTTTTCTCGCTCTCTCCCTGTCTTTTTCTGAAATACTAAAATGTAACTTTAGCCCAAGAGTCATATTTATAATTGTAATTAGCAAAAAGCAAAACAAACAACAAAAAAAAAACAAAAAAAAGATGTGCCATTGAAAATAACTTTAATTCAAGAACACTTTTAAGGTTTACGTTTAGTTATTATATATATACATACATAAATACATATACAACAATACTAAAGTAAAGTTTAAATTGATTGGAATATCAAATAGTTAAAGCGAAGCACTAAATTTTAAGTCTATAGATACACACTAACAAAAAACCACCGCACTTTATTTGTACTTGTCCAATTTAATTGCTAATTGCTAACAGTTTATTTTGGTTTGTCATTTGTCGTTTGATTTGAAAAAATTGTTCTTTCGATTTAAGTGCCTTAATTTAGTTTCAGTTTTTCTGATTGAATTGTGCGTGAAAAACATATACAAATAAAATACTATATTAATGAAATTTTATCATTTACATTAAGTATAACAACCAGTTCAGGTTTCAAATGGGCCCAAAAAAATAATCACAAATTGCTAATTGCGAACAAATCAAAACCAAATCCAAACACATCGAGTAACATTCAAAAATGTTTTTTAGTCAAATCATAGAGAAGCCATTGCAAAAAATAATTAGTTGTTAAAAAATATATATTTCAAATTACTCACCAAAAACTGAAAACTGAAAAGATAAATTGTAGTGTTTGACATTTTATGATACAAAACAAAAAATAAAAAGATAACAAAAGCCTTTTCAAAGTTACAGAAAAACGAAGAAAACAAAAAAATTGAAATATATATATATATATATATATATATATATATTGTAGCTATAATTTAAGTCCATGTGTAAATAAAAACAATATTTGAACGTTTAAATTTTATGAAGCAACAAATAAAATACACGAAACAAAACAAAACAAAAAGAAAATTAAAATATTAGCAAAACTAATTGTTGAACAAATGGCTTGGCCTTTTTATTTAAATGTTTAATTTGAAAAAGAAAACCCAGATAATGGTGTTTATATGTTGGGAGTTTTTTTTTTTTTGTTGGTTTATTTTTTGTTTTTGTTTGTTTAACTGTTTTATTCATTTAATTAATTTATAAATATTATTACATAACCTATAAGTGTTTTGATTTTACTGTTTGTTTTAAATTAATTACAAAAATAGTTCAGTTGTAAAAACAGCAAAAATCGTGTAATAATAATTAGTTTTTAGTTTTAGTTGAGCGGAAATCAAACAGAAATACGGCAGGACTACGTTAAACATAATTTAGATACAAAAAAAAATCAATTTGAGGCTCACTTTCAGAGGCTTACAAACTAAAGGAAATTAAACGGTTAAGTGACTAAATTGATAAGAAACAAAAGAAGAAGAAACAATAATATAGCAAACAACTGGGTGTGTGTGTGTTTTGTTGTGTGTGTGTTGGGAGACTGACAGTTGGCTACAAGTTTGTTTTACTTTTAGTTTTTTTTTGTTTGTTTGTTTTTAGTTAATGACGTATATAAATAGTTTGTTCTGTTCCTGTCGATACAATTGGTTTTATTTTTGTTTTTTATTTGTTTGTTTGTTTTCTATGCGTGTATTAATAATAAACAATTACACAATTATTGATTCTGATCGTCATCAGTAATAATTAGATTAGAATTTTCTTTTTGTTTGTTTGTTTTTTTTTTGTTTTTTATAAATAATTAGTTTGTATTATTATTATATGTATTGTTGATCGTTATTATATAATCATCAATCGTGTGTGTGTTGCTTGAATTTATTACCTTTCACTTTCTTGCATAGGCAAATGAAGACGCTGCCTCAGTGTCTTTGTGTGTGTTCGAGGGGGGTGTGTGTGTGTGTGGGCGTGTGTGGGTGTGGCTGTTGGTGTGTGTGTGGCTGTTGGTGTGTGTGTGTGTGTGAGCGTTGAACATTGGCTTGCAATCATGAGGATGAGGCGGCCGACGAGTTCTTTGTGGAGCCACCGCCCGAGTGGCTGGAGTTGCGCTGCTTCTCAATGTAGACGTTGAGCAGACGCACCTTGCTGGGATTCATCACGGATAGCTTGGGTTTGACCTTCTCCTCGCCGAGCACAAGGTACAGCTTGACAATGCAAAAGACGGCCGCCTTGCGCACCATCGACTGCTGATCGTCGGCGGAACGTGCCAAATTTGGGAACACAATATCCAGATGGGCATCGGTGATATCGGTGCCATGGTGTTCGGTCACCTCGAGCAGGATTTTGATCGCACACAGATTGGCGGGAAAGGCACCCGTCGCTATCACCGGATTCACAATATTGATCGTCAGATCGAGGGGCAGAGCAGGCGCAATCCGCGGGATCATTGTGTCAATTTCACGCAGTGCCTCTTTGCTGTGTTGATAGCAATTCATGATCTTCAGCAGGATGAGCTCGAGAAAGTTGAGCCAATTGTGACGCATCTTGTCGCTGCGCACGATCTTGCTGAGCACATGGAGGCCGGAGATGAGCACATCCGTATGCTCTGCCTCGAGCATGTGGAGCAGCATGCGCATTATCGATTTGAAGTGCTTATTGGGCAGATCACAATTGCCGCCACGGATGCAGATGCCCAGATTGGCCAGCCCAGTCTGCAGCTGATCCACCGGTTGATCCTTATTCAGGGTGAGGGCGATCCGCATCACTTCGCTCTCGAGCAGATCACCGGGTAATATCAGTTCACCATTAGCGGCGAAAGTCAGCGAGATTTTTGCCTTCGGTTGCGATGGAGGAGCAGCTGCATCCAGTCGCATTGTCGCCGATTCCGGTGTATTCGATTGCGTTGTGTTTGCTGAGGATTGTGTTGTCTTCGAATTGGATGACAGCGAGTCCTGCTGCGCTGTCAAATCTCGTTGCTGCTGCTGCTGCTGTTGCTGCTCAATGGTGTACTGCAGATGATGGCCATTGTAGCCATTGGGTGCGACCAGGGAATGGTATTGGCCACCGGCGAAACAGTGTCGTATCTCCTCGGAGGTCTTTTGTATATTGTGCTGCACCTCGAGCTCAGAGCAGCCATAGAGCAGCTCCTGCTCCACAGACGATTGACGCGATCTCGGACTAGAATTCATATTGATGCTCATGTTGAGCGAGGCAAACGGACCCCCAACGCTGGGGCTCTGCAACGGTTTGGGGCTGCTGCTGCTCAACGGCGAAATGCTCGGTGAATTGGCGCCACTGCTTTGCCGGCGCATATGCGACTGGATGCTTAACAGCGCCGTATCCTGACAGCCCTTGGGCAACGTGGCCAACAACTTGGTCATCTGTGGCGTATTCAAATGATAGAGGGCAACCAAGCAGAGACGCGCATGCGAACGCAACTCCATCGATTTCTGATCGTTGGACAGTTGGGCGAGCTTGAGGATGGTTCGCTCACAGCTGGCACTGTGATCGCTGGGAAAATCACTGCTCTTGCCGTACATGTTGGCCAGGTCGGTGAGGAAGCGTAGGATTGCGATGCGTGTCTTTGTTGTCGGCGTCTGTGTATTGTCCGAAATGATCCGAAATAGCTCCTTCAGTTGCAGCTCCGAGGGAAAGTATTCGTGGACGACGCGCAATGTCTTCCAGATCTTGCTGTGCATCGAGTTGAGTAGATCGGTGCCCAGTTTATTAAACAGCCGCGTCAACAGGATGAACAACCAATCGTGCAATTCGGGCGCATAGACGAGAATCAGTTCGGTGACCGTGTCCAAGAACAGCGAATAGACTTTTGTGTGCGTGTCCATGAACATTTTGCGAAACATGTCGAGTACGCACTGGAGCTGCTGCTGTGTCAACTCCTTGCCATCGGTCAGATACTGGGTGAGGCTAATCAAACCATCCTTGCGCTCCGACCAGTGTGTCGAGGCGCAATACTGTATGATTGTCTCGATATCGTCGAAGGGTGCTCGCTGCGGCTGACTGTTGCTCCAGTCGAGCCGATTGCGGGATCCGCTCAACGAATAATTCGAGTTGCTGTTGTTGCCGCCACGCGTATTGCTCGAGTCAAAGGAACGCTCCGAGCACACCGAACTCGCCTCCGAGTCAATGTCATCGGACTCGTCGCGCCCGAGCAATTTGCGACCCATGCGATGCATGCCACCGCCCGCACGCATAAAATCACCGGACATGTAATCCGTGGCATCCACATCCGTGGGGCCCAGTGTGTTCTCGGCCTCGCGTGATTGCGCCAGCAGTCGAGATGCAGCTGTGCTGCGCACCGGATTATTGCGTTCCGGTGTCCGTCTCGAGGAGCCCGTCGAGTAGATGCTACGCTTCATCAGGCCACCGCCGGCGCTACCCAAGCGATTGGGACTCGTCTCTCGCGAACTGGCCGTGCTGCGCGGTATGCCCGATGCCTTCTTGGGTATGGCACCCGTGGCGCCACCTCGATGATAATAGCTGCCCATGCCATAATGATCACGCATCTTCGTGCTGGGCGATGTGGAACGTGAGCCGGGCTGCGATTGTGAGACGCCGGCGCGTGAACGTCCAATCCTCGAGGTGGGTGTCACGGCACCCGGTGAAATTGTCTGATGTGCTCCGGCAACGCCGCTGCTGCCGCTGTGGCTATTGGAATTGAGACGTGGTCGCGGCAACGTGCCACTGCCAGCTCCACCTCCAGTCGGATTCAAGGAGTTGGTCAACGCGACGGGTTTCTTTTGACGGGAGTAGAGCGTGTATTGAGCACGGGCCTTGGCACGCTGGGCCGCCGCCGTATCTACCGCGGATATGGAACGAATGCTGGGCGTCGCCTTCTGCAGGGTGTTCGGCGTGCGTCCAATGCGCGAGGAGGGGGCCACAGTGCGTCGCGAGTCCAGCGATTGTTGGCTGCCACCATTTGAGGTACCTCCCCCGCCATTGCGTTCCTTTTCCAGGGCACGCTGGGCAGCAATGTCCAGATTGCCATAGATCTGATCCGCCAGATCGGGAAAGTGCCGTCGAAAGGCCCAGTAGGCGAGACGAGATTGACGACGTGCCTCGCTGTCCGCATCGCCCAGCGATTTCTTCAGGGTGTCGCGCAGAATAATCGAATGTCGTTCGAGCGGTTTCGTTTGCCACTCCTCGAAGAGCAGGACCATCAGTTCACAGAGCGTGGAGCGTATATCCTTCGACTTGGACTGCTGCAACATGTCCGTATAAATCTTGAGCAGCTTCGGCGCATGCGTATACTTAATAATGTACTTGAGCGCCAGCGTCGAAGCGGACGCAATCACCTTGGCCGAGTTCTGAATGAGCAGAATGAGCTGCTCCAATATGCTAAAACAGAACGCGTCCAACTTGTTGCGCATCGTCTTGGACATGTACGCAATGGTGATGCACGCCTCGCGTATCACCTGCGAGCGCAGCTCCTCCTTCAGTATGTCGAGGAAGCCAATCGATAGCTCCTTCAGCTGCACGGCTATAAACTGTGGCTGTGCCTGATAATTGAGCTGCAGAAGGGCACGGATTTTCTTCAAGGCATCCACACGCTTCTCCCAGGCTGCATTCTTATCGCTTATAATCAGCAAGATTTGCTTGTAGATGTCATCCATGTCCTTGGCATGGAATATTGTCAATTGGGGCACCTGCTCAAAGCTCGCCTCAAAGATCTCCATGGTGACGGCACCAGCATCGCCGGCCACATCATTCGGATTTGGCTTCTGGCGCATCATCAACATGGACGATGACGATGACGAGGAGGACGCGGAGTGCAGTTGACGTTTAACGATCTTTGTGGGTCGCTCGCGTTGCCCAATGTTGTCGGCCTCATCGAGACTATTGCCATTCTTCAGGGCCGACGGCAACAGCAGACCCTCCTGCTTGACCTGATCGAATTTCTGTTCGAGCAGGGCCAGCTTTGAGGCGGGCAAATCATCGATCTTCCTTAAATCTGGCCGCAGACGATCACCGACATGCTTGTAGATCTCGACAAGCGTCTGGATGGCGGCCTCGCGTACATTCACCGTCGGATCACCGAGCAGACTGCACACGGGATTAATATAGACACGGACGCTCAACTGTTGTGTTCCATACTCGTGCAGGGCATTTGTGATCGTCTGCAGGAATTCCTCGCGCACTTTGGCATTCTTGTGCTTGAAGCAACTCGTCGCCAGTTTGTCGACTAGTGTCTGGGCCGTTTGCACTTTGTGCTCCATCAGATCGCGAAGTAGGAGTTGGGCCTTCTCGCGCACCGTATCGCGACTGTCGCCCAAACGATCGATGACATGGGGCAACACTGTCGCTGTGTACGCATTGAAATCGCTGCCCAGACGCTTGATTAGCTCCGAGAAGGCCTCGAGTGACTTTTGTGCGATCTTGAAATGGCTGCCAGTTAGCCAGGGCATCAGGTTGTCAATGAGGAAGCCCATGTCTGTGCACACAATTGAATTGGTGTCGTCGCTGAGGAATGTCACCAGATCTTCGGCCAGCTGCACTTTGACGCGCATATCCGCCTTGGGCATCTGTTGAATGAAGCCATCCAAATCGCTTGGCTTTCGATACGCCATATTTTATTTGTGACTCGCTCTCTCTCTCTCTTGCTGTGTGTTTGTTTGTTTATTGTGTGTGTGGTTGGTTTGCAGCTGTAATAAAAGTGAATGGATAAAAATTGATTTTAGCACTTGTCTCTCTTGGTAAATTGAATTAAATATTTATGGCACGAGCAACCACAATGCAGGTCAATAGAAATTGACCAGTGTGCAGCGAGATGAGCGAGATGCATAATTAAATAAATAAATTGGACACAGGCAATGTGCAAATGTGGCAAGCAAAATCGACTCTAATTTAAGATACCTAATTTAACAAAGCGTAAAAAGTTAAACGTAATGATTTAAATACAGAGCAAAAAATAAAAATAATAAAATTACTGTATAATGTTGATGACAAACTGAATAACTATGGAAATGTGACATTCTCACAGTGCCTGACAGAAGAAAAAAATCTCACATCATCGATCTTCTAAATTGTAATCAATTTTAAATTGTACGCTTAATTCAAATTTTTAATTGCGCGCGCGCATAAAAAGAAGCAGCAGCAGCGAGAAGAAGAAGCGAAAGCAACAGTCGCACAAGCCGTGTGTTAAAAATGGGCAACAATTGCTGTATTTATGCATGTGTATGTCCCTGCATGTGTAGGTGTGTGTGTCACAGTGCGTATCAGTGTGTGTATGTGTGAGAAGTGAAGTCAGTGTTTCGGCTGCGAAAAGTAGGTGAATGGCTATCCGGGTGGGAATGGGCATGCACACAGATGCCAGAGTGTTGTGGAATTACAGGCGCGGCAGAGGGCAGAGTGAAGAGTTTGGGTGCGGGGCGTTGTTACGTCGTCGTCGTCGTTGTTGTTGTTCGTTGTGCACAACATATGAATCATCTCACCGCGCTGAGCGTGACGGCGTCCAGGAATGGTGTTCAGTAGGTGGGTGGTTGTGTTGGGTTGGGCGCTTAGCTCAATCTAAAGCTAAAAAGCTAAAGCGTCAGCTCAGGCAACGTGCCAATGTAAGAAGAAGAATGTTGCCGCTGCTTGACTGCTGCTTGACTTAACTGCTGCTTGTCACTGGTGGCTCTTGTTACGTTTTCGGCTAAATGGCAGCGACATAAACGGCTAAGCGCCAGCGTCGCAGTCGCCGCTGACGTCGATGTCAAGCCTCGCTGCCAGAGAGAGAGAGAGCGCCACAAAACAAAAAGCGAATAATAATAAAGAAGAGGAGGAAAAAACATATATTTATGGAAATGGCTGAATGAGATAATATGTCAAACAATTACTAAGCAACAACAGCGACTTGTTTGCTCATTTCTGAGTGACAGATAGACAGAGGAGAGAGAGAGAGATAACGAGAAGGAGAGAGAGATAAAGAGAGCGCTCTTTTGAGTAAGCGAGCGAGTGAGCAAGCAACAAATTAGCATTGCATACGCAATTTTCTATTTATAATAAAACACAACAACAGCAACAACAAGGCAGAAAAAATATTACAAAGCGCTGGCCGTAGCTTTCGTAACTATTTTTAAGAAAAACGATAAGATATCCGCAGTCTTTGGCGGCGTCAATTGTTTCAAAGACAAACAACCAGCTGTTTTAGCTGCTTTTTAATGAGCCATTTGGTCAAACGTGATTAAGTTAGATTTGCTGGCTGCGCTGCCTCTGCCGACGTAGAGACTGCGACTGCGGCCAAATTTGTCAAATTTAAATGTCACATGAAAAGCGAGCAGAAAAAAAATATAAATAAAATGAAATAAAATAACGGAAGTGGAGGCGAATGCGAATGCGTGTCTTGGCCAAATAGTTGCATGATCTTTTTTTAACACGCTCACAGATACGCACTCACACACACACATGCCCAAATACTCACTTTATTTGCAAATCCGGCTGCTGTTGCTTCTTCTTCTTGATTTTCTATCTCTCTCTCTCTCTCAGTTCGTTTTACGCTCAATATTTTGTTTTGGGTTGGGTTTGGTCTGACGCCAGCAAGCAAAGCAAAGCAGAGCAAAACACAACAACTGCTGCGGCTGCTTGGCCCCCTTAGCCAATGTTAAGAATTGATTTTCCAGTCGGAAATCTAACAAACAATTCGCAAAGCACACAAATACGCGTCTTAAATAAATTCTATGTCGGTACAAGCACAGCCAATTATTGAACAAATTGCCAGACGAGAGATCACAGTTTAGTGTTTTTCTTTTCTTTTTTTTTGTTGCCTCCTCTCCGCTCCGTTATTGGTTATTATTGTTGTTGTTGTTGCGCACAGTTTCACTTTGGCAAATTAAATGTCATTTGTTGTTGCTCTCTCTCTTGCACTGTCTTTTTTTTCTATTTCTACCGTTATTGGTGACTGCTGAAGGTGGACGTCGCAGTCGCAGCGCCGTCTGCTGCCGCGGGTTCAACACAAATTCCAACGTCTTCAAAGTCTCGTCTGCTGCTGCTGCTGGCATTCGTGAACTTTTTCAGTGACGCGCTCGGTGCTTGCTTGCTGTGTGTTCTCTCGCTCTCTTCCTCTCCCTCTCGCTCTATCATTGCTCATGGGTCAGTTTTGCACTGTGAATTTTGGCCGCTTAGCGGATGTTCTTTTCGACAAACATCACATTTTGTTGCACATTTGCAGTGTGTGTTTGTGTTGCGCCTATTTGCTTAATTCTTTTCACACTTTTTACTTAAGTTTAACACCGATTTTGTTGCGCGTTGCGAAAAATTGCCTCTTCTTGCTCATCGGTTGTTGCCATATATCGATATATATATTTAACAGGGTTGCATGCGCAGTCGACTTGGCGATAAAACATCGCACGAGAAATGCCAGTGCTGCCTTGAACTTGTTGCAAAAGTCTGGCAACCTTCTTCCGCAAGTCAGGCGCCTTCTTTTGATTTTTTTTAAATATAAAAAACTCTGATAAGCATTTTTGATAAAAATATGTGACAACGATAAAGAAAATATTTCCGGGTAAGCCCAGTGATTTCGAAAACCGCACGCGTATCCAATTCAAGGGCTGCCTTATCAGCTGCAATTACTTTTAACCAGAAGCGGTGGTATCAAATGTGTGGATCTGGGGTGTCAAACAAAAAATGAGCGCTTGTGTTCTGATAATTAATTATTTATTTATTCTCGTTTGCAAATACTGTCTACGTCGGCAGTTCTTTTGTGGAATATTGAATAAACGTATTGTTTGCGTTTTGCACTCCAGTGAATTCTGCTGGCAATTGAATTTGTAATATGCTAAATTTGCAAATGAAAACCAGGAAATTTAAAACTCAAATTTGATTGTCAACTATTTAAGCTCTTTCTCGCTCAGTCTCTGCCTCTTTATTCTGATGCACCGCCTGTGCCCTACCCGACGGATCCTCCGGACAGCCCCAATCGAGGCGTGGCACCCATCTGACCACCGTTTTTGCCGCTGACTCGCCCGGAAACTGCTGCTCAAAAATGCAGCGATAATAAAAAGCCTCCTTCGTTGTGGGCGTATTGAAGGGGAATCTCTCGCCGGCCAATGCGAACTCCTCGTCCCCCACATGACTGGTAGCCACACGGCGTATGCTGTCAATCCAAGCGTAGCCGACGCCATCGGAGAACTGCTCTTTCTGCCTCCACAACACCTCATCCGGCAGATAATCCTCGGCAAATGCGGCACGCAACACATACTTCTCCATGCGTGTTTTGTGCTCATTGGTGAAGGTGTTCAGTTCACCGGGAATCTTGTCCTGTGGCCGTATGTTCATCACATAGTTGACGAATGCCGTGTCCAGGAATGGAACACGCAACTCTACACCCTTCGCCATGGCCACCTTGTTGGCACGCAGACAATCGGATAAATGCAGTTGCTGGACACGCTTCACCAGCTCCTCGTGGAACTCTTGATAGTTGGGTGCCTTGTGGAAGTATAAATAGCCCCCAAAGATCTCATCGGCACCCTCGCCGGAGAGTATCATCTTAATCCCAGTGCTCTTGATGTAGCGTGCCAGGAGCAGCATTGGCAGACTGCAGCGCACGGTGGTCACATCGTAGGTCTCCAGATGGTACACAATATCCCGTATGCCATCCAGCGCATCCTCAATCTCAAAAATCAGCTCTGTGTGGTCACTCTCTATGTATTTGGCCACCTGGCGAGCAGCCTCAAAATCCGGCGCATTGCGTAAACCCACCGAGAAGGTTTTCAATTTGTAGTCGGGATTAGTTTCACGCATAATCTTCGTGGCAATCGAGGCAATCAAGCTGGAATCGACTCCGCCGGAGAGCAGTGCAGCAAAATGCACATCACAGTGGAGATGGGTGCGCACCGCTGACTCCAAACTGGTGCGGAGCAGCGACAAATCGCAGGCCAAAGTGGGCAACTGTTGCATCCATGGCTGCTCAAAGTGGCGCCAGCGACGCATTGCGCCGACGCGTCCAAAACGCGCCTCTCCCGGCGTAAAAGTCTCCACTCGCTCACAAACGCCCACCAAACACTTCATCTCCGAGGCAATCCAAATGTTGCCCGCTGTATCCTCGCCCAGATACATGGGTATAATACCAATGGGATCACGGGCGAGTAGCAGCTCCTTGGTGCGCTTGTCGTACAGGGCGAAGGCATACATGCCCGTAATATGCTGCAGCAAATCCACTCCATAATCCCGATACAATTCAAGTATCACGTGGCAATCGCTTTTCGGTTTGTAGCCACCACGTCGCTTGGCAATCTGCGCCGCAAGTTCCAGATAATTGTAGATCTCGCCGTTGGCGACGAGTATCAAGTTGCCATCGTCGGAGACAAAGGGTTGATCGCCCATCTCCACGCCCACAATACGTAGGCGTTCGTGTACCATGGCCACTCCCTGCTCGGCGACGACCACAACGCCAGTGGAGTCTGGTCCACGATGCCGCTGCCTGCCACTCTGGCGATAGGCCAGTTCCCGCAATGTATGTTTACTGCCGTGAATGCATCTGGCTGCGATGGCCTTGCCATCGCTTGAAAAAATGGCAAAAATACCGCACATTATTCGAAATGCGTTTTCCGCCTTGCGCTCGCTGTCCGCTTTATTGGCAGGTCCAATTGCAACTGATTAAGTTTATGCCACACTGTCTGCTTTTATAGCTTTCGCCGGTTGCGCAACAATGCTGTCACTTTAGCCTTTTTTCGCACAAATTTGTTCTTGTTAAATTGCAGTTAGCAAGCTGGTTTGCTTACTTTATTGTAATAAAAACACTTATCCGTTTCTATTACAATAGTGTTGTTTAAGTTTGACATTTTTAGCTAGGCGCATTACTTGGATATTTAAATGCTAGCTGCATATTGATATATTCACAATTGTAAAAGAGCTAAGAGCGCAGCACTGGCAGCATACAGTCGAAATTCCAACGACGAGTTGCGTCAGGCAGTTTCGAGCACATGTTGTTCGTTTTTTGTTTTCAATTCATACTCTTCATTACCTGTCTCTCTCTCTCTCTTCTCGCTATCTTTGAAAGTGTCTTTTGCCAGCAAACCTTTTGATAAAAAAAACAAGAAATATCACTGTTACGTTATTATTCACGTGCTTTTTATTAAATCATTAAACATCAAATGAACAATTTCAAGGTACTTCTATTTTTAAAATTGGCATTCGCAAGTTCCTTAATAAAAATGCGAAAATAAACTGATTGAGAAAACCTTACAGCTTATTTTTTAGCATTAATAATAAGCAATTAAAAGAAAGAGAATCTCAGCAACTTTCAATAAATGAATTACAAGAAAAAGTTTGCAGTTAAAATAAAATGTAGTTCACTTTTAATTATTTAATGGAATGTTAAATAGCTTAATATTTTAGACTTACCATTAATAATAAGTAATTAAATTGAGTATATTAGTAATTTTAAATAACTCAAATACAAGAAAAAGTTTGCAGTTAAAAAATGTAATTGCTTTATGATTATTAAATGGAATGTTTTCAAAACAAACTACCACCAAAAACTGAACTCTCAAAACAAAAGAGTAATATTTAATAATCGATTGTACACTTTCCATAGCCGTTGTCGTGTGCTGCTTGGGCTCTGCCCGAGGGATCCTCTGGACAACCCCAGTCCAAGCGTGGCGCCCACTTCTCCACAGTGTTGGCCGCTGACTCGCCCGGAAACTGCTCCTCGAAGATGCAGCGATAGTAGAAGGCCTCTTTCGTCTTGGGCGGGTTGATGGGAAACCTTTGCTTCGCCTCCAGCAGCTGTGCATCGCTGACATGGCGGGCAGCAAAGTTGGGCAAGGCATCGATTAAGGCATAGCCAACGCCATCCGAGAACTGTTCCTTCTGGCGCCAGAGTACGGCATCCGGCAGATAATCTCCCGTGAAGGCTTGTCGCAGCACAAACTTCTCCATTCGCCACTTTCGGTCGCCGGTGAACTCATTCAATGCACCTGCCATCTTGTCCTGCGGTCGTATACCCATCACGTGGTCAACGAGAGCCGTGTCCAGGAAGGGAACACGCAGCTCCAGACCTTTGGACATGGTCACCTTGTTGGCACGCAAAATATCGGAGACATGCAGCTGCTCGCAGCGAGTGATCATTTCCTGGTGGAACTCCTCATAGTTGGGTGCCTTGTGGAAGTACAAATAGCCGCCAAAGATCTCATCGGCACCCTCGCCGGAGAGTATCATCTTAATACCAGTGCTCTTCACATGTCTCGCCAGATAAAACATGGGCAGACTACAACGCACAGTGGCCACATCGTACGTCTCCAGATGATAGATTAAATCTCTTACTCCATCCAGACAATCATCCACATCGAAAGTGATTTCCGTGTGCTCGCTCCCAATATGCTTGGCAACCAACCGGGCATGCACAAAGTCCGGGGATCCTGACATGCCCACGGAGAAGGTGCGCAACTTATAGCTCGGATCGCGTTCTCGCATTATTCTCGCCGCAATGGCTGCGATCAGACTGGAGTCCACTCCGCCGGAGAGCAGGGCACCAAAGGGCACATCGCACTGCAGATGTGAACGCACTGCTAGCTCCAATTGCTGGCGCAGATGCTTTAGATTCACTTCAGCCGTTGGGATTAACTGCCTCCAGCTGGGCTGGTAATAGCGCACCGGCGAAGGCAGTTGCTTCACTGTACCCATAGCCATGTGTCCCGGCGGAAAGACCTGCAGCTGATCACAGACGTTCACCAGGCACTTCATTTCCGAGGCAAACCACAGATTGCCCGCCGCATCCTTGCCCATATACAGTGGTATAATGCCAAAGGGATCACGGGCCACCAACAGCTGCCGACGTCGTCGATCGTAGAGAACAAAGCTAAACATGCCCGTTATGTGTTCCAGCAACTTATTGCCATGCTCCTCGTACAGCTCAATGATGACATTGCAATCGCTCTTGGGCTGATAGCCAGGCAAACGTTTGACAATCTTCTGGGTTAACTCAAGGTAGTTGTAAATCTCACCATTGGTAATGAGGGCGATGTTGCCATCTCGAGACTGCAGCGGCTGATGTCCTGTTGCCACGCCTATAACCGCCAAACGTTCGTGCACCAAAGCCACGCCCTGCTCCTCGATAACCAGGATGCCCGTGTCATCGGGACCACGATGGCGCTGCTTGCCACTCTGCCGATAAGCCAACTCCCGCAAACTGTGCTCGCTGCCTTCAAAGGATTGCGTTCCAATTGGCTGACCATCAGCGGAGAAAATGGCCAAAATACCGCACATATTTAGTATAATTTAACAAATATATATATATAATATAATATTTAATTTAATTAAATCAAAAGGATGTTTGAAATACTTCTAGAATATCATTTTTGTTTTATATATTATTTGAAATCCCGAATTGAACTTTTCACTTTGCACTAGTTTCAGCAGTAACTGTTTTCGCTTTGGCAGATGAAATAGCTTTTATAGTTATTTGGCCAACTAATTTATGCATAATTTCGGTTAATTAATGCACATGAATCAATCAAAACAATCGCTAAAATGCATGATAATATCACATTATTTTTCTAATACTTATTTCGCAAACTAAACACTGAGAAAAGCAAGACCTGCAAAATATAATTTATTATCATTATAAACAGCGAGCCATTATTATGTTAAAAACAAAATTCATACAATAAAAAACTTAAAAACAAACTGAACCAATATTAATGAAATATTACTTGAGTAAGATTTATTTATAAACAAATCTCCAACATTTGAGACAGTAATAATAGTTTTAGTGTATATTTTTCCCACAATGTAAGATGTAAATTTTGTTTATTTTGTGCATAATTCAAAAGTGATTTAATTAGCACTTTTATTAGTTAATTGAGTGTTTCGACAACTTGGAATTCGGCATATTTTTTTTGAGTCGAGTTTCAGAGCATTGATTAAACTGTTATTAGAGCTTGAAACTATTTATAAAGCACAAAGAATTGAAGAAGGGGAATGTTTGAGTATTCCTGGGAACTGAAAGGAAAATTGAATTGAAAGGAAACTTAATTTAAATTCCAGTGTGTATATTTAGTATGTCAAACAAAATAAATCTGTTTTGAAGTTCAAGTCAATTGCTATTAAATATAGTATCTGATTGTGATTAGTTGGCAGAGGTTAACTGCAAAGTTAATCATTATTATTATGCACAGTCAACAACTGGCAACAGCTGGCAACAGCTGGCAACAATGTATTTGTTGCATTTTCCAATTGATCAATTGATTAAGTGTTTAAGCTTATATTTTTCTAGTATTTGGCATGCGACAAAAGTGCAAACGAAGCTTTGCACCAAAAACAAATGTAAACGAAAGCTTTCCGCTAACAGAGAAATGTAAGCTAACAGCAAAAAAGCTGCTACTGCTGATGCTTCTGCTGCTGCTGCTGCTGCTGCTACTGCTGCTGCTACGGCTGCTGCTACTGCTGCTGCTACGGCAGCTGCTGCTGCTACGGCTGCTGCTACTGCTGCTACTGCTGCTGCTGCTACGGCTGCTGCTACTGTTAACAGGTGGTTTCAATGCGTCTATGTTGGCAGCTCGGCGAGATAAAACCATGTGTTTATTTAAGCAGACATTTTAATTGTGCGTCCAACACGTCGCCAAACAAACGATAAGGCAAAAGGAAAACAAAAAAAAATCCAAATTAAAAATAGATGATGTCAGCAACTAACACAGATAGTAGCTAACTAGATGCAGTAGGCAGTGACGCCCCGCGCACCGCTCCTGGACAATTGCTTGTTGCTTCAAATATTACCGCCAGTTGTCTTCGTCGTCATCGTTGTCGACGTCGTCGTTGGTTGGTTCGCTGTCGGTGTGCGAAATGCCGAACGGTCATTCAGTAGCCGTTAGAACGCGTCGCAGTGCGGCAGGAAGTTGCGTATTCGACGCGTTGCCTCAACCAAAGCGCTTAAAAGAAAAGAAAACATAATCCCCGAGCGACGTTTTGATGTGCGGGTTTTTCGTAGAGCGCGCGCGTTTTTTGAAGTCTGCCTTTCGGCTGCCGGCTGGCAAGGTGTTAATTAGTAGAAATTTAATTAGTTGCAAGGAATGTGCAAAAAGGTAAATTGCCCTAATGTGGCAGGATTTCTTGCGATAAGGAATGCTGCGGCGTTGTCTTGTGCCTTTTTCAAATTGAGCGCCAAGCGTAAAAATGTTAACAACATCATTTCTTGAGTGAAACGTTGCCAAAGTGAATTTTAAATGAATTTCCACGCAAATTTAATAATGTCAATGGCAATGGCAACAAACAATATTGGATATGCAATTATAAAATGATAATCAAAGTGTATAAATAATAACGCAATGTTAATAATACAACGGGAAAATTAAATTATTTTGAAGACTACCTGAAATTTATTAAAGTAAGAAATGAATTTAAAGTATGTATTATTATTTATTGATCTACAAAGTAATCAAACATTTTAAATAGCTTTATCAAAATAAAAAACTTTTCATGTATATGGAAATCTTAAAATTTTATTGCAAGCAAACAAGAAAGTTTTATGAAGCTAAAATGCATAAAAATGTAAACAATTTTGAACAAAAACTTTTAGATGGAATTTGTGTTCCAAAATTGGTCCGATATAAAAAAGAAATATCAAATTAAAACCCAATAAAACCAACTTAGCAGTCAGAGCAGAGATAAACAAAAAGTCGAATCGAATCCAAGCATGACCTATTACTGTCACGTCCAGTGCGAGACAGGCCGGGAAGAGCAAACAACTTTCGGGTCACGTTTGACATTTGGCCTAACAAAATGATGGAAAGCAAGTTTACTGGCCCAAACAAAGAAGACTCACTCACTAGCTACATAGCTAGCTAGATAGATATATAGATAAAGGAGATGCAACAGCCATACCACAGCAGCAGCAGCAGCAGCCACACATTACAAACTCTTAGCAATTAATTAAAAAGTTTTAACGCTCCCAAATCAAATCAACAATTTCCGCAGGTATTTTGGCGTCAAATTGCCCGCCTCCCAATTTCAGCCGGTGAGCTTCTAGTTCGAGTTCGTGTTCGAGTTTTGGGCTTGAGAGATTTGGCAAGGGTTATTTAGTGGTAAACTGGTAAGCTGGCTGAATGTCGGATCGATGGATGGGCTCGAATGAAAATCGATGCGCATTACTGCAGCCTCGCTGCGCCCCGAAACCCATGAACCCACAAGCAACACAACAAACTCCCCCCCCCCCCCCCTCTCTCTTTCTCCCTTCCTCTGTCTCTGTCTCTGTCTATCTCGTGGCAGTAACAAAAATAAATTTAATTTTAAAATACAATGCGCCCCGGGGGCTGGGCGTTGCGGACGCGGATGCTGGCGGTGTCGTCTGGACTGGACTGGTCCAAAGTCAGCACTTATCCAGTCAGCACTTGACCCCTTATGTCCAAAACAGAAAAAAATAATAATAATTCCCAAACGCTGCCTGCTTAGCTATTTTTAAGCTACGCCAAAAATTTGCTGCGTAGCATTTTCTAAAAAAAAAAAACAAAAAAAACAAACAAACATTTTTTGGCATGCATCTAATTGTGCTCAATTTAGAAACGAATATAATTAATTTGAAATTTGGAAATTTGACGCAGGTATCATAAATTTTGAACGACGTTTTGGGTAAATGAAATACTTAAGTTGCTGTGTGTTTTATGGATAGTTTTTATTGAGCACTCGATAAAAATTTAAAATCTAAATAGAATCTAGATATTAAACGTGCCTCGTCTATTAAAATTATCAAAGTTTTGCTAATGATTTTCGTTGCTTGTGACACCAATTTCAATGTTTCTTGCTGTTTTGGCAAAAAAGAAAAACTTTTGCTTAACAGCCGCCAGGCGAAAGGGCCAAAGAAACACCAAAAACAACAAAAACAGTAAAAAAAAAAAACAAACGAAAGCCAAGTCTGCCTTTCAGCACCAGCCAGGACACGCCTAGAGCTAATTGTGTACGTGGACGTATGTATGGAACGGACGTGAGAAAAATGAAAGTGAGTGTGAGTGTGTGTGTGTGTGTGTGTGAGTGTGTTTAGCTGTATGTCATAATCAAATGAATGCCCAGCAATAATTTAACACGCAAGCCCCATGTCCATGCTACGACTAATGGCTATGACTAGTAATCGCACCAGGACAACAGAAAGAAAGCAAAAAAAAAAAGAAAAAAGAAAGAAGAAAAATGCGACTGCTGCAGTTGTTAATTATCCGTTTGGCGCATTATGTTAGGGGCCGTAGGCATGTGCTCGCATTAACTAGGACACTTGCAGGATTAGGCAGAAGGGAAGGCGGTCAGCACAGGCAGTCTAGGACTGGGGTGTGCATAATGAGTTCGAGTTGATTAAATGCCACATTCATGATTCATTCATTCATTCATACAGCAAACGCTAAGCAAATGTTTCAGTCGAATTTCGTAAGTTTTGGGCGAGTTTTGTACAAATTTAGCTATTTAAATTTACAACTGGTTAAATATATAATTTTGGGTGTAGTCTTAAGATGAGATACAAATTTCGAATAGTTGTAACTACACAAGCTATAAATACTATCGAGACTAGCTTTGAAATATTTTTTTGTTTCGTTAATGGAGGGCCAAATTATAATTTTCTCATAAATTTCAATCTTTATTCAATGTCTTCTGTGTGTCTCAAAGTTGAGATGCAGACTGAGAGAACTCCCCACTCCCCCTGCTTCAGTGCCACACTCTGAATACGCCCTTGGCTTGTATTAACTTAATTGAATAATGCATACATTTTAGGGCTTTTATACATATGATGAACAATCAGTTAACTTAATCCAAGCGCCAGTTTCAGCTAATGCCATTTCACAAAACTGATAAAAATATGTATTTATGATTTGTGGTAAGAGTTGTTGACGGGCACATGACAAACTATCCGACACTTGTCACAGGCTATGGGCACATTATCAATCTCTTGTGACAGGGTCACAATCACATTTTTCCAGCAGCCTTGACACTGAGGCGCAACTTGTGTCTTGTGTGTGTGGGGCGGGGGCGGGGGCGAAAGACTAGACGGGCCAAGGCGAGACAACCAAATGCGGCGACAACAGAATTGCTTGCAGCTGGGGCAGGCGGATGGGAAGTGGTGCATGAATGCTGAGGTGTAGAAACAAGCTGCTATGATTCCCATGATTGGATCAATGAGACGCACACCGAAGGCCAATGGACCAATGGAGAAATGGACTTGGCTGCAGGCCAATGCGAAGGTTGCGTTGCTCTGACAACACCAAAAAAATACACCCGAGCACTATGAAAAGAAATAAAAACCTGTTGAGTAA